TGATGGCTGCGTAGCGGTCAAGTGAGATCAGGAACATGGACATGATGGATGCTGTGCAGGGCGATGTCACAAAGGCCATCTGCATCAAACACCGTGTCTTGCCCTGAGCAGGAGGCGTGGCGTTTGTGGGAGGACCAGCAGTGATATGGCTGTACTGGTTCTGAGTGATATTTTTGCTGTTGTTGTTGAAGTCCTCTGTGGCTAGACCAGTGATGGCCACACCCACCAGGGCGTCAGCCAGTGCCAAATTGAGGACAAAGCACCAGCTCTGGCTGCTCTTCTTGAGGAGTAACTTAAGTAGAGCTGCTGCCACCAGCAGGTTGGTGGAGATGATGAGGCAAGAGGCGATGCTCAGGATCAGACCCATCACTCGGGGCCTCATGTCGCCTTGGGATGTCGACTCATTGGAGTCCATGCAGTCAGAACTCATCCTAACAGAGGGCTCAGTGCTTGCATGTCCACACAAATATGACATGTTGTTAACAAAAAACCCAAAGAGAAGGTGAAATTCACAAAATGTATATGCATTTAAGATTTGCTGACACTGCTGCCATCAGAAACACTTTCATCCTTTACAGCCATTGTCCAACAAAACACAAAATGTACCTGAGCTAGAAAAAAAATAGAGATTTGCACAAATGCTAAAACATAAAATAGGTTAAAACTTGAAACTTGATGAAGAATCCTGTTAGCCAGTATTGTCCTGTTACGTTAATCCGGAGTCGTGTAATGTTTCCTCGGTGATGCATATCATAGTTTAAAAAAGTGAATCTGTTGCTTAAACATCCGTTCAATCTAACTGTTCTCATCAGTGTCCTTAAAATCCCTTCAATGCAGAAGGACAAAAACACTCACAGCTTTATCAGTTAGTCTTGCTTGTCTCCTCCCCTCACACACACACACACACACACACACACACACACACACACACACACACACACACACACACACACATACATGCACAGGCGCACACACCAGCACAAACACATACATACCCTTCCGCTGCTCATCCGTTGCTGTTGTTGCCTCTCTGGGATTGACCCTTGTCCCAGCCGCCTGCCTGCTGGCTCCCTGCAAGCAGGAAGATCTCTATTTTTATTATATTTACAGTATTTCTAATTTTTTGTTAAGAGGATGTTTTTAACCAAGGTTTAGTTAGGGTTAATATTCTTTGGAGAACCAAACCTTACATGATTGGGGAATAAATAAATGAAATGAGTGTAGACTGGCTACAGGGGTTTTCCAAAGACGACATTTTGACACGTCACGGTAGAAAAAGCAGAAGAGTAAATAATACATTTAAGGATGGTTTAGCTGCTTCACTTTCATAGTCACTGAATTGTTCATGCTGGCTCACTGTCAGACTTTCGTGGCTTACTGGGACACTTCAGTAAAATGGAGCCATTGTTAATACAATACAACACATTTAACGCTTTTCCTGCTATGATACAGTATGTCTCACATGTAATGCATTATGTCATCACAGAACTATAGAGAATAACGTTGAACCAACACTATAGTGAACATTCACTGATCCAATGTTCCAGAAGTAAAAATCCTGTTTTCTCAAAGATGTGTTATATGACCGACAATTGAAGGGTTGTACATTAAATTCCTGATTGACTCATCAGTACAAAAGATAAGCAACTGTAAGAAAATATCTAGTCCTTTGATGAAGAGTCAAAATTGTAAGGAAAGAAGTTGTATTTTAGTTTAAGTTTAAGTGACGACAATTTTATTTACATATACTTTTGACTACTTCAGAATTACTATTTTAAATAGCTAAATAATAAATCCAAAGTGAAATATACTATGTAAAAACAAATGACAAAAACATTAAGTTAAGTTTAAGCAGTTAAATACAGTAGTTTAAAGTGGTATGTATTCTCAATTTGGGATAAATTCAGCAAATATGCTGCAGTGTTCAGCAGCTAGATTCTGAATTGCACCTCTGACTGAGTTCTTATCTGCAGCAACAATGATCTACAGGGTCATGGGCATCCTGACAGAGAAAACATAATCTCTCAGAAGGAAGAGGAAGTTGAAATAATTAGAACTAATAGCCGTAACATAAAGCATCACATTACCCTGACGACGCTTGTGTTTCTGTGTTGAGGAACTTTAAAGCGAGACTGTGTAACTTTAGGAAGAAGTAACACGGTCTTACTCTTATTAATGAAGATAGTCTGATGACTTTGTGACTCGTCTCTGCCATGGTTTACTGTTTACCGTACCACTGTTCTGCAAAGGTTTCTTGCTTTAAGGACATCATCAAAAGGAAACTTTCGAATGAGAATTTAAAGTTGAAAAAAAACAACTTTTGGACGTCACTCCTCCCATTAGCCTGACTTGTCCCGGGGTGTGAATTTCAGAAATTTGGGCGAAATAAAATGAGAATAATGCAAATAAATTTACGAAGACATGACAAGATTTTATAATTATTCAGGCACAATTGTCTCTGATGCATGATGGAATTTGCTGCCACATGCATTTGTCTTTTCTCTCACTTTTTAAAAAGCATTCATTTGTCTCCTGTGTTCCTGCTGTGATTTTACCATCTTCTATGGTGGCAGAGAGGAGGGGTGAATGCAAAGAAGGCCCCCATGTGGAAAGAGACCAGTAGACAATGTGGTTATGTACAGTATATATTTTTAATCTTTACTTTTGGTATGTCTTGCAGAGTGGAGGTCTAGAATGGCGAGTGGTAGCATTACATTAATATTTTGTAGCATTGTCTTGAGAGCCATCTGCTTACAGTTTTCCAGTGAATTTCTGGGGTTTCCGTTCAGGATGGAAATGTTCCTTGTAAGGCTTTGCATGACTGCATCATAATGTATCAAGCATTTATATATGCAAATGCAATGTTCATTTACTCTACATTTAAATGTAAATAAGGCCACCATACAATGATATTCATATTAAAGAATGAAACACCAAACTACATGTTCATTTACATCTAAATCACACCATGCAGGAAGAAAATTAATTCCACTAAAGAAACTTGAATCCAGAGATGAAACCCTTTAAAATATAAAAATGTGGAATTATTGTATTACACAATTTGTAGATTTATTCACAACATTTTTATGCATTTTATTGATCCATCCAGTTTATAAAGTCAGATTTGGTGGTCTAGATAGGGCAGGTAAAACACAGTATGAGTGTGACAGCATCTTATCAGTGTGCACTCAAGCAGGCTGTGTGCTCTGCAGGCTTCAGCTTTAATGTACATGAGTGTCCCGTAGTGCAATAACATACAGGAACATCGCCAGTGGAGCAGAGTAGAGATATATTGAGTGTATTCCAACCCTTTATGGAGTCATGATGCTAAAATTAAAAACTGTTCTCTATTTTCTTGAGGACATGCCTGTAAACCTGTAGACAGTGGACTCCTGCATGCACGCTATTGGCAGTGTTTGTGGGCTGTATAGAGCTGAATGGGCTTAGTTAAACTCTAACCTTGCTGGCTGCTGTCTCGCTCTGGCTCCAGAGTCCCCAGGAGAGACATGATGGGACCATTTTCCACTAAGATTCACACACAGATAGATCTAGCTAATGATGCATTCTCGCTGCACACACTCAAAACATCACCTGGCACCACACCAGCGTCTATAGTCTAAAAATACTAAAAGAAAAACAAGTGACTGGAGACATCCTTGTGTATGCCAAAAACCTTTTTGTTTCTTGTGTTTTAGAGAACTTCTTCATTAATCATGTCAACGTCTCAAGGAAACCTTTCATGTCACTTGCTTCCATAAGTCAACATATTTCCAGCTAAAATAGGACATTGGGGTTGGAACATATCTCAAGTAGCGATTGTTCAGAAGTCCAAAATGATTGCCCAAACTGTCCTCAAAATGAATCATATTTTAAGAAAAGAAAGCGGGTTTTCACCCATAATGTACTACCACTTCTCTCCCTTTGAACGTTTATTAAAGTGCATTTTATTTACTAGAACACAGTGAAGCTACTTATTCACATACTTTACGCTGATCATCAACATCTTAATTTATGTTCATTACATTTGTCTGCCAACAACCAAAACTGATAAAACAAAATTCTATAAGACGACAGAACAATGTTTTAAAGAAAAACTTGCTTTTCATTAAGCAGATTCAGACAGTAGCCCAGAGACCATTTTCGCAGCTGGAAAGCAGAACTTGCACTCTATTATAATGTTGTTCCCCTTTCTGTTTTAAAGTCAAAATAATGGCAAAATTTTCACCCAGTGAACATTTTTGTCAGTAGAGGCCATGATAATGAATTGGCAACTGTAAGATTATGGTTTTACTCAAGAGTATTTTAAAATTGTAATCCTGCTAATAATACATATTTTACTAACTGTAACTATAATCTGATATAACCCCAAGCCCGATGGTGAACCTGGTAAATGTTCGTTTCTAGAAATCAGCATTTTAACAGCGTATAGCCTCACTGAAATTCTAGCATGCATGTAGACTCTTTGTCTTCTCAGGCTTTGAAAAAGTGCAAAATACAATCTGTCATTAACTTGGCCATAGTGTGAAAAGGTTAGACATAACCGGAGCTTAGACAATCCTACAGAACTGGTTGGTAAGTGTCTGAATGTGTTAGCCCAGCCTGACTTTTCAGCATTTTCACACTTCCCATTCAGTCACACAAAGACGTCCTCAAACCCCAACACTACAATCCCAGCCAGTTTCACAAGGTTCACAATGAGTCCACAGCAACCTAAGAGGAAAGATCCTCTTTTTTTTATTACCCCTCACCCCCCTCGCTCCCGACATGCCAAAATAGCTCCAACGGACACACAATATAGGAATGTTATTCACCCCTGCTAGACCTTTCAGGACCTTTCAAAACAAAGTGTGGGTCAGCAGTAATTGTGCCCAGTGCCCAGCAGCACCCAGGGAGCCAGGATCCTGTTTACACCTTTGCCAACACCAACCCCCAACCCCTGTGACAAATTCTTGTAACTCCACCTGGACCTGGGATCTGTTTCGAAGAAGCTGCTGAGTGTTTTTTTTTTAAGCAAAGCGAGGAGTTTTCCAGTTTTGGAGGATCAGTCAGTCAGGAAAGAATTCTTCTGGACAGGATTGTTAAGGTGATGTTATGGGATGTTTTTCAGGGTGATGTCTGGTATTCAACAGGAGCAGGGATGTAGCTTCTGCTTCCCATTGTTATTACAATGTGGCCTGCAGCAGAGTTAGAGTTGTATTGGAGGTCTTGCGGTTGGACCTGACTGACAGACAGACAAGATCAGAATACCAAATTTATTATACTTAAACTTCATGATGTAACCACTCCTCACTTTTTGTTCTGGTCACACAGAGGACAGCTCTAATAACCTGTTAAACTTGTAGAAATGTGTTTCACAAAAAAGGCCCTGTTACCCATGATCTGTCATTTTAATAAAGTAGGCTATACTCTCAGACTGGTGATGTGTTCACAGTTTGTTTTAACATGAGTGGGGGATATAAACATGGCAACATTACAGATTATTTTCTCCCCTCTGAGTATTCAACAGTTTTATAGACCAGATCTTGAAGATAAGCTTTTAAGAGCCACCAGAGTTTGTAAAAGTGTAAAAAACAAATATCACTAAACTCATAGTCCCTAACTTCAGAAATCTTGAATACTTAAAGGCCAGCTCTTGAAAAATAAGAGTTCAAGAAAGAGAAGAAGGATCAAGAAAGGGTGGTCCACCGGCCTCATGCAGTCACCAATTCGCGTTTCTGATACACAGTCTGTTTCAGACAGTTTGAAAATGATTGTATTTGTGTTTCTATCAGACTAAAGATGTCGTTAAAGAGACGACTGCTGTCCATGTTGTTGTGCTGTGTTTACTGCATGGCCTCGCTCTTCTGCCTCCACCCAAACCGCAACAACTGCTTCTCCATCGGAGCTCGGTGAGTCTGTGTGTGTCAGTGTGTTAAACATGGACAAATGTTTGTGATAAGAACTGTTGTGTTACAATGACTGACTTTCTAGACACGTGTGTCCCCTCATGTTGCCCCACATGCTCTATTAAAAGTTGCACCTACTAAGAATGGTCAGCTGAATGTTTATTTAGAGGTTATTGTTTTCATATTTTGAAAATTTTAGACTAGTTTTTAGATAAAACTCATGTTCCTAGAAGAAACAAAGAAACACATTTCTTAATCTGCATTTCCAAATGTTCTCTGGGATTTCCTTTTTTGGCCATGAATTTGTATTTGGAATGGGTATGTTGAATGTCAATAACCATCATACCCAGATGACATTTGTTCTACCTGACAGGAAATGTCCTTGTTATGAACAAAGTGTAGAAGAAAATGAGGGGGATTTAACAAAGGTCCCGAGCTAGAATTGAACCAGTTGTGTTGCCGTTGAGGGTTGCTGTATTACCCCATTGACTACAGATATGTTGATATATCTCTATAAATATAATCTAATGATTTGAACTAGCATTCCCAACCTTTGACCTTTGGCTTGAGAAATAATAAAAGAAAAGGCAGAGGTGACAAAATAAGACTGCATCTGGGGTTTGGGCATGCCAACTTATGATAAAAACAGTTGAATATGAGCATATTTTTTCACATTGTGGACCTTTCTCACAGCAGACATTTAGGCTTGTTAAACACAGGGTCCATCCAGGAGTTCCAGTGCCAGGACCCCTGTGTTGTGCATGCTGGCCCACTCATATTAAGGCCTTATTCTTTTTCCCTCTCTTCCCTTAAGTCACTCTTTATCCCTACATTGCTTTCTCAATTTATCTCTCCATCCACTTGTCTGTCCATTCCTCACTCTCCTTAATTGTTCACCCTTCTCTCAGGAATCTGGTGTCAGTCGTCCAGCAGCTTTACCAGCGTGTCATTCGACTGCTGCGCACCACTCTCTGATCCACAGCGCTTCCAGTGTTTAAACCAATCACTCCGGACCTGTATTGCCACTGTGGCAGATGTGGCTGTTTTCGAACATGCCCTCCGGTAGTGCATCGCCAACTAAAAAGAAGAAAAAGAAGAAAGAGGAATGGTGTCACTCCACTCTTGGACTGTGAAGTTTCCACCAATTGCCCTGCTGTGTTCACCACTGCATTACTCTGGCTGTAGATGAGGAGGCGACAAGCATGTGAAAACATTTTTTTTTACTCAAGTAGATTGTGGGTATCTGCTGTGTGAGATGTGAGTGAGGTGGAAAATACAGTTTTGTTTTAAATGCATTTTGAGGGTTCAGTGCAATCGTGAAGGCTCAAGAAACAGGCTCGTAACCATGAGGTTGCTGGTTGAAATTCATGGACACGATGGCAGTATTGTTGTAATATATGAAGGTGCAAAATTCAAAATCTTCCCTTCATTAATAACCGTCACAAAGCTGACCCTGAGCAAGGCAGAAAGCTTTCATTGTGGCTGCGCTGTAGAGGGAAGCAGCACCTGTGGTCTGAGTGTGAAAGCTGTTCAGACAGAAGCTTGTAACAGACATATTAGGGTACTCTCGTACCCAGTCTGACACAGTATATTGGACCCAGCTTGAGTAGGAAGAGGACCTGTGAAGACCTCTACTTAAGTACACATATTCCACATCAACACTTGCCTTGTGCCCTTGCAAGTAACACAGTACAAACATGTGTTTTTAGCTCCCTGTGGAGCTGAAAGAGCTCTACGAGGGTAATACAGCAAGAGACACGTCAAATTCCACCACAGGGAAAGAGAAACCACACACATCAGATGAGACACATTTGCCTTGTTGTTGCTATAATGCCCTTAACTATGTGAGAGAAACTACAGCTTATGGTTACATAATAAGAATCTAAGGTGTCATATTTCTGAAGGCAACTGTGCTAATGTATCTTTGCATAACTAGAAACATCCTCAATTGTTTTTGTATGTAGGGCTTAAAAAGTATTTTAGGCTAAAATGCTACATATAGGACATAAACAGGCTGCAGCTGAAATGTTGATTTATGACATTGCAGGTAATATATAATAACAGTACACTGAAGGGGGAGATGGGGAGACTTCAAACATCTAGTAGCAGAGAGGCCATAGCTTATGTTATTGAGACAGTGCTCTATATAGAATCAGTTTTACTGCTATGTAGTTGCCTGGGTGACAAGTCCTCACATGACACATGTCACTGCATATGCGCTGATCGGGGAGCTCAACAGCAGGATGAAGACACGTCTGCAGCACTTTAATTGTTGGTTGTCCCAAATAATAATAATTTAAAAAAAAAAAAAAAACATATTTTCTCACTTACTTACAGTGGTAGCATGCAGATACTGTTGTTTTGGTCAATGCGGGTTTTCATTTTGTGAGATTTGTGTCTCTATGCCAGTGCAATAGAGGTGAATGGAATTTAGTTTGTGGTGCTAACAGCAATAAAAAAAACTACATAGAAGAATTCCACAGCAAAATGTATTTCCAATATCCTTGTTACTCCGGATAATTCACGGAACACAATGGTTTTCATAGGGACTATTATTTAGTAGAAAATAGTTTCATTGAAAATGATTCACACAGAACTCACAGTGAGAATGCTTGTCAGGAAAACCTAAACATGGGTCATGTTTAGTAATTGAACAAGAAATGGTGAAGTTTTGTTTTTCTGGGGACAGATCAAGATGGAAGGATGGTGCAATAAAAATCAACACGTTTAGTCTTATCAGGCTAAGAGCCGCTGGTCTGAATTTGAATTGAATTGTGTTTGTAAAATGTGTGAATGAGTAAAGTCTGATTCACACTTAGGGAAACAACCACAAAGAAATACTTAAATCTGTGATGCATTTAAAAGAAGAAAAAGAGAAAACACATTTACAAATCAAAGTTGTAAAAAAGAAGGGATATGATAACTCACTGGTTATTTGTTTGTAAGAGAACTGATAGCTGAAGACATATCTTTTAAAATACTTGGGCAACAAGTTATGCAAATGTGCTATAATATTATCTGCTGCCTAAAGAGATGATGTACTTTTGCATGGCTCTGGGTGTCAGTGTTGCTGTGGTGACAACTTTTTCACACTTTTGTATAAACTGAGTGAATGTGTAACACTCCCAGCATTAGCTGCTCCACCCTGGAGGGTTTGATAAAAAATAAAAAAAGAAGAGAGAGAAGTTTGCTTGCATAAAACCTCCTGTAGCTGTTAAAAAGTGGTGAATAAAAACTGGGCTATGACAGTTGTCTATTGAGGTGACATGACTTTAACGTCCCGTTCTCTCACTGCAGTCAGTCCCTAAACATATGTAAGGACATACAGCAGGTGTGTTGCAATGGGATACCTTCAATTACTTAATATCATTATTTAAATATAACAAATACACTCCAATAAAACAAAACAAATTTTCTTAAAAAGCGTGTGTCATTGGCTTATTTATGTATAATAATGTGTGTGTGTGTGTGTGTGTGTGTGTGTGTGTGTGTGTGTGTGTGTGTGTATAGTGTATTAATTAAATATTTATTGAGCTCTTATGAGAGCAGTCCTGGATTGCATTGCTTATAGATGCAGCAGAAAACAACTTGTTGAACAGGTTTTAGGCTGTTTAGAAATTGTAGTGGAGCATTTAAAACATCACCAGTATCTGCAGTGTTAATAGAAATGGGGGAAATGCCTCTAGGAATCCTGCAAAGGCCATTTTACAGGAAGGACTGAGCCCAAGTCTTTTCAGTTTTGAGTGGAAAGGGAATGCTAAGGTGCAAAATGTAGGCAAAAAAAGAGAAAAAGAGAAACTTCTGGTACCAAAGTGGACAACAGTACAAAACTATATCCAGACAAAACTAAATCCAGACACAGGTGCAGCATTCTTCGCCCCTCCTTGTGAGGTAGCAGTATAAACAGAGATAATCAGACCATCTTGCAGTGTACACAGCCGCATTATCTAGAGTATTGTTTGAATTAAGGCTGGATGGAATATAACCAACCAAGTGTTGTAATTGCTTAATAGCTCGTCAGAGCTTTCAAGCATTAAGTCGTAAAAGTCATCCTGCAGGAAGGATGTTGTGGATTAAACTTCTGCTACTCAGGCTACATTATAGGGGTTGGATATCTCCTTTGTTTTGGTAAAGCACAGGTTAAAGCTATTCTTAAGAATTATATGGACAAAATCTTGCAGGAATACTTTGACTTAAGTGCCACAGGAAGACATCTTTCCAGTATTCAAAAACATGTAGGTGTTGGTGGAATATGAAGTGGGAGCCCAGGGGGAAGAGATGGTCAATACTCATCTAAGAATAAGGCATGCAGGATTAAATAAAATGCACTATTACTGGACTATGCACACACTGTCATAAATCTACTAAAAGAAACAAATATGACAAAGAAATAAGGGAATTAATAGTAGATTTGAATCTGGGGAATATCCCAGGAAAGACGTAATGGAATATACGCAATCTTCAAATTAATTACTTAAGAGTAAAATAAATAAATAAATTCTGGCAATCAACTACTCGGTCGGTCCAGTAGGTGGCGGTAACGCGCGTATGAGCCGCTTGTCCGCCGCAATTAAAACCCGAAGAAGAAGAAGAAGAAGACGACGGCTCGGCTGTGTTTGACATTAGCTGAAATGGGAAGCTAACAGCAGACGAGAAGTTTTCCGCTTTCACTTTCTTAAAGTCAAGCCACGTATATCCATTAAAAAAAGTCATGGAAAACCGAGTCAAATAGCAGCTTCGCCCATTTGTTATCGACACCACAGGTACGTGACGTTTCGGCTGAATGTAACGGTAACTATTCGCTAAACTGTTGAAACCTTAATTTCCACAAGTGTTAGCCGACTAGCTGTTAGCCTAGCAGGAGCCGTTTGCTTCGAGCTAACCGCCCCAAAAAAACAGCCGGAGACGGCCATTTATGCGAGAAAGACAATTCAAATGAACGGTTTTCAGTTATTAAAAGTGCACATCAGAACCAGAAGAAGGACTTGTGTTTTATTACTACTGTTGGTCAAATCGCTAACGATAATAAATAACTTAATTTCATTCTCGTGATACTGTTGCTATCAACCGAACTGTCACTCACAGTCTGACTCCTCCCCCCCCATTCCATTCCATCCCCGCCCCCTTCGCTACACACAGCCAATTGAATCGCTTAAAACTTTGATTGACTGGACTCGCAGCCAATAGCAGCCCCGCGACGAATATGATGGCTCTCTCTCTCTCTCTCTCTCTCTCTCCGCGGTGTTCGACACAGCGGGCGTCTCTTTCCGGCGCAGTACGCTGGGATGCTGATGCTGAGGAGCCAAGTTGATCTGTAGCATCACTAGCTCTCCAATGTCCATCGACATGTTGTATTGTTTGAAGTTGCAGCACTGTATTGACCTCTGTCTGGGGGGGCTGTTGTTGTTTCTAGCGGGGCTGCAGCAGGTGGAAGCAGCCGCCGCCGCGGAGATGGCCAACTTGAACTGGAAGCCGTTCATCTACGGAGGGATGGCCTCGATTGTCGCAGAATTCGGTAAGCTACGTGATGCACCACGACATGCAGACCCTTACCGTCATGTATATCGATGGGTTTAAAGGCTGTTATGTAGTGCCAGTGCATGTTCTGTGCAAATAAGGCGGTTTTAAATTCCGTGAGTTTGCAGTCACGGGCAGAATTTGCATCTGCTCAGTAATGGTAGCGCCGGTTTCAGGAAAGGGACCGAAGCCCGAATGCATATCAGATTTCTTTTGGTGCACATTGTGTGCATCATCCTGGGACTGCAAATGTATACAGTGCACTGAGTTAGAATACAGCCAGGTTGTTGGGTACACATCCACACTGTTTACTTCACCTGCAATAACCTAAAAAGATCAAGCATCAGTATTCCAGAAAAGTTGTACATATTTGTTTTATATTTTTATTTTTCTTACACAAAAAGTAAAGACATAAGAAATATGCTATTTCTGGTACCTGGATAGGAGTTGCAACTTGGGAAACACTTAAAAATGTAAATCATGCATGACAGGTGAAACTGCATTACCTTAATTTTCTGTTTTGACTTAATCTTTACTGGTATCATTGTTAATATTATTACTTTTAATCCTCAGGCACATTTCCCATTGACCTGACTAAGACCCGGCTACAGGTCCAGGGTCAGTCCCAGTACACGGAGGTCCGGTACAAAGGCATGTTCCATGCCCTCTTCAGGATCGGCAAGGAGGAGGGCATCCGAGCGCTCTACTCTGGGTACGGAACATGCTTTTTTAGGTTCAAGAAGTTCTTCAAGTGCACGCTAGTTTGGAGCACAGTAAACAGATGTTGTGTGTTTGCTTGAGGGTCGAGGGCCAGTATAAATTGGCTACATAAAATAAATCTACGACATAAGTAGGCTTTCCCTAACATGGACGTGGGTGCTATCAACACAGGCGTCTTTCATCCATTAATGCTGTTCAGTTGGTGTGCATGTTTTATGAGATTTAAATAAACAGAGGCTATTATATGATATTAATCGCATAATGGGGTTTATTTAATTGATGCAGTCAGCACAGCATGGGCCATACCTGCTCAATCTGCTCTGTACCACTTTACCAGATAACTCCTGCTCTGGTTAAGCGCACATTGTGTTTCACATCAAAACGGTAACAAAAGAGATGAGAAGTGGTGTGGGATGGATTTTTCTTGGTTTCGACATTGTTAGAAACTGTAAGTGCACAACTCAACAAAATATATAGAATACGTCTAGTTGTCTTCATACATTTCAATGCGTAAATGTTACATATATGCAGACAGAAATACCTACTCTCCATAGTTTGCCTGTGGAGCTTTATAAGGAGCTAAGATACTTGAAACTGGGATTCAATCCTAAGTTTGAAGGGGAATTCTTGGGAAAAGGCTTAGGAATTACCTTGTAATTTCAGCAATAAGTTCCAGATGTGTGAATACAGTTGCAAGTGCCTTGCCATTCCCAGAGGAGAGAGGTTTCAGTTAAACTCAACGTGCTGTAAAGTTAATCTAGTTACTTCTTCCTGCGAAATGCTCCGTGCTGATGGAAACGGCGTGTGTTCAATACAATATGCGGTAATAAGCTTTCCTCACAGAGCTGTTACACTTTGTGGGTGGTAGAACTGCGATATTGCCGAATCAAGCTACAGATTTGAAAGAAGCCCAGTGGGACAGGAAATGTGCTCCATTTTAAAAACAAGTTTCTCTTTTACATTTCAAGCAGTGGGTGTTATTTCAAGTGTTTTGTGTCTATTAAGATTCATCTCTGCTTTTGGGCAATAGACAGTAAGACTGGATTTCACACTCCTACTGAAATTTTGTTTCATTGCATCCTACGCCACATGAACACAAAGTAACAGATAAGCAGTTCCTCTTCCTCTGCACCTGCCTCAGTTCTGTCGCACAGAAAAGGTTAATAAACATATCTGACCTCTCCTCTCAGGATTTCTCCCGCCCTGTTGAGACAAGCTTCTTATGGGACAATCAAGATAGGAACTTACAACTCTCTGAAGAGGCTGTTTGTCGCTCATCCAGAAGGTGAGTGTTAACTATTTCTGCCTCCAACATCCTGTCTTCTACCTTTTGTGCTAACCTCTCTTTTTATTCACGCTTTCATCTTAAGGCTCGAAACTTACAGCCTCCCTGCACAGAAGGAAACTAGCTTTTTACTTCGCAGGTGTTTGAATCCTTTTTCAACTACAAGGTATTAGTCTGGAAAAACATTCACAGAAAGTCAGCTGAACTCAGCAGCTGGCCAAACAATGGACTATGGGAGATGGTTTGAAAGATACTGACGGCGAGCAGCTCGGTATATTAAATTTCAAGTCATATTTGCATGATGGCTCTGACTGCTTTCAGACTGATGCAATCTCTTGAAAACTTAAGTTTAGTCAGTAAGCATTTGTGACGGCATTCACCCAACTAAAATCCCTGTGAGCCATCCAGTGTCACAATGAGCATTTACAACCTACCTGGAACAGGAGAGCACACCATCTTAACAGCAAAGCATTTAGCAGCAGTAGCACCTTATTCATTTACCTAAATTTACATTTTAGTTTGTTAACTGATGTATTATCCAAAGTTATAGTAGGAATGTGGTTGACTATTTTGTACTATTGGCTATAAAGTAGTTGGACTGGGTACCGAAGTACTTTTGTGTCCAAAATAAAGACAAAATTGCTTTGATGTATTTGAGTATTAAAAAAATGCCTTGTCATTCTGTACCAAATTTTGCTACCTAAGGAGTAAATACCATCATCGTCAGTGTGCCAAACAGCATGCAGCCGGCTGATACCCGACCTTATGGAGTAGCCAGTAGCACAGTGCTTAGTTCAGAGTGGAGTCCCAAATGCAGGGAAGCCTCTATTGTGGCCTGAAGGTGGCAGAAAATGAAACAATATTACGTAGGTTTTTCTTATTTTGATTAAATCTGTTGCTATCAGGACAACAAACTAACTGAACTGAATTGTATGGGTGATTATTACTAGTTTTTCATTTTAGGCAGGACAAAAGTTAGCCCTCTGTTAGTATTATCTATGTTGGTGAGCCCAACTGTTTATTTTCGATCCCGCTTATACTGCATTCTGTTTGTTCTCATATCTCATCTGAGATTCTCTCATTCACTCCCTTTCCTTCTGTTTGGACTCAAAACATCTTTTGTGCCTCAAACAAGTCAAACCCCTTGCAGGCCTTCTCTTTTCTTTGTTTATGCCGGGAAACTTTACATGTTGGGTGTTTTGGTGGTAGGATGCTTCTGTTTACATGCAGACATGGATGAAAAGGGGTTAAACGTATTCTCATCATTTGTTGTAAATGGTATAGTACAAGGTGGTTGAGGTCAAATTTAGAGAAGACAATTTGCCCCTTGGACACAAAGTTTAGTCACATTCAGTTGCAGTTTCTGAACCAACAGAATTAGAATTGGTATGGTAAATAATCAGGGATCAATGCACAAACACATGAAGTGCACAGCAATTTACCCTGGTGATATTGGTGCAAAACAGCACGTTACTGAATAGATTTCTTTACACAGAAACAATACTGTATGTGCCTTTCAGTGTGTGGCTGTACACCGCACACACCCACCAAAAAAAAGGGCGACAACCTGTGTTGATCCGTCTGGAAGCAGGGTGAGTGTGGAAACCTGGCTGCACTAATTTGCAAGCTAAATAAGAAGCAAATAGTTTCCAGGAAGGAAGTGGTCGAGGAAGAGATGGCATGGGAAGAGTGGAGACAGGAGGAGAGACAGTAGCATGAGAGTGAGTTAGTAAATGCTCCTATGTGCTTTTACCTTCCTATGTGACACAGAGCTTATGTGTCTAAACAGTTTACAACATTTTATATATTTCACTGACATGGAAATAGACAAATCCTCGACACAAACAGCAAACGTGGCCTTTAGGAAAGAGTCACAGAGAGAAACTGACTCAGAGTACAGATGAAATAAATAGTCAATTAGTTGGTCAGCAGAAAATGTATCCACAATTATTGTTACAAGCATTTTTCAGGCAAAACATGCTAAAGCATTCTCTGGTTTTAGCTTCTCAGATGTGAGGATTTTCTGTTTTTCTTTGTCATATAACATTTCAAATTGAATCTTTGAATCTTAGACTTGTAGGGGTTGTGATGGAACAAGGCAGCATGCATCATGGAGGAAAACAACTGTCAAGTTGAAGAGGGAACAGGGACGCTCACATACACCATATTTAAAAAATATATATACAGTAGTAGTGGGTAAAGTGGACAGAAATAAGCAGGCTCAGTAATAGAGGAAAAACATCCTAGAAACGTGAAAGTGGATGAGTTTTTGTTGTCAGGAGCTCTGATGTTCATTAATCCTCCATGTAGAGAAACAGAGAGCCACTTCAGTTATCAGCCAAATGGGTTTGCGCTACATTTATCAGTGATTTTCCGGTGCCAGCAAGTTTCTTAGACTCACAGTAAGTTTGTGACCACAGGCTCTGTGACTTCCTCTCTTCCTTCTCTGCCTGCTTTATTTGTTATTCGTCTTTTCCCATTGACTGGTTCCCTCTTTATCTGGCATTACCTTTCACTGCCTCTATGCCAAGCCCCCTTTTTCTTTTTCTTTGTTCTCTTTCTTCCCCTTTGCTTTTTACTCTTCTTTGCTCCTCTCAATATTTAATGGGCAATTAGTGTATATCAAATAGATAATATGAATAATAGAGTAGATCGTGGTAGGATAATAGAACCGAGGGATTGAAAGTAATGAAGTAGTGAAGTTGTATTTTATGCTTTTCTAGGTCACCATTTTGGAAAATACGCTTGAGATGAGAAGAGTGATACAAATCTCATGTCTGTGCATTAAGTATGGGGTTGGTCGCCAGATACAGTGAGAACAGTTTCTGGTTTGTTTTAAAACCATGATGGAAAACTGCATAGTCACTGTACCAGGTTGTCCCTTAAAACATTTGTTTGTTAACGGGTTAAACTAATGTGTCAGCACCAATAAACCAGGGCAAATGTCTTGTGCACTCAGTGTACTAATTGATTATCAGTGATTAAAAGTAGATAAGGGAGGGTTCAATGGAAGGGAGGTCTTTTTTTGTTTTTGTTGATTGTTTGCCTTTCCACTTTGCATGCCCTCTGCCACGATGGTACCACTGTGTTTTGAATGCTTGTTTTGACACAGGCTTGGGTTTGCCCTGTGGTTGTGGTGGGATCGAACGCCCCCTTCCCCCGTCCAAAAAATGAGCGGCGCGAGGACCGCCACACTAACTGTTGGTCAGATTGATCAAGGATCACTGTAACTATTGTTCTAAACTCAATTCGTTATTATTTTCCTCCTCCTCCTCCTCCTTCCTCCTCCAGTGTAGACACCATACTGGGTTACTACTAATAAGATCCACCACTTGCTAACACTGACAAACTGTACCAAAACTAATTACTAACAGTGGTTGCTGTTTAAAGCCAACACACAGACTATGTACTCTCTCAAACAACAATATCAAATTATTCTCAGCGTTGGATTTGATCAGCTTGGAGTGCCAGTTGGGTGGAGTTTGACACATCATGAGAGACACCAGTGTGAGAAAGTTTAGACAGTTTGAAGGTCCATCCAGCTCATGTTGATAGAATACAGTTAACTCCACCCATGTAGTGTTCCAAGTAGGTTAGAGCAAATATGTACACTTGTATGTGGATAACATAAATTAGGCACTAATTGTAGTAAACAATAATCCCTTTCTGACTTTCTTGTAGCAACTAGCGTTCAGAGTTCATAACAATCTTACATTTGCTAGAATCAAACAGGATGTAATAAACAATCATAGATGTTCTATCTCTAAGTGCACTCAAGTGTCATTTTCAACACACCCTTATTTGTGTCTTGTTTGGATCGGAGAATACTGCGTTTTTTTTAAGAAGATACATTTGATAGGCAGATGATTTAAACCCTTTATAAGGTATTTTTAAAGGGCTGATTCTTACTTGTGCAGGATGTGTTGATGTCTTGTTCTTGTACGTGCATGTTCCTTTACTTATTCCCTATTTTATTTTATTACTTTATTTGACAGAGATAATGTTAATTAACAGAAAAAAATAATTGTAAGTGAGCTGGAGTATATGGCTCCAGGTCTGAACAATTTAAAAAGGGGAGTGAAAACTCAACAAAAGTTGACCAGTACTTTTTGTTGTTCTTTGTTGGTCTAATCCTGGATAAAGATGCTGCCATGCTGCATCATGTCATTTGACCTTTTTGTGAACATATCCATGCACAAGTCTAGTATGCTTATACCTGGTCACTCTATGTATCTGCTTTAATCTGTACACATTTTAAAAAACAGCAGTTTTAAAAAAAATGAATACAAATCAAATACATTTTATTTTTTATTAATTGTAATAAACTTCAATTAATTCAGACTTTCTGTGTTGATATTTCCAGACATTATTAATAAGACATATATTGTAAAATGATTTCAACACATAATAAAGTAGCATACAACCAAAAATATAGTTTAACAGGACGGTTGTGTCAGGTTTTGTATTGAACAAATATCCCAAACACGATCAACCAGTGTATTGAAAATGACACCGTTTCTTAAAGTGGAGCGCATGCATGACAGTGTTATATGGAAATAACATATCATCCCTCTGGACATCTATACATAGTTATTTATAGGCTAATCTTAATGGAATTGTGTTTGTGTGTCTAATATCTAATTTCTCTTTCCTGCCAGACGAGACCATGGTCATCAACGTCTTCTGTGGTGTCGTGTCTGGAGTACTGTCCTCCTCCCTGGCCAACCCCACTGACGTCCTCAAGGTGATTCTTAAAATGAATCTCTATACCTGAGTTCACACACTGAGTGAAGTGAAGTGTTGAAAATTTGGGGCGAAAAATGTTTGACCTTGTTTGTTTGTTTTTCTTTTGTGTGTCCTTTTTTGTTCCAGATCAGAATGCAAGCGCAGGGCAGTTTGCTCCAAGGCAGCATGATGGCCAACTTCATCAACATCTACCAGACAGAGGGCACCAGAGGGCTGTGGAGAGTGAGTGCTGGATTACTTTGTATAGGGGATGTATGTGCATTGTGCATGTAGTACAAGTGGTGGATACTGTGTTCCAGGATGGCGCCCTATTCATTCTTAATGAGCTTTTTTATGATTTTTTTATTTTTTTTTATTCTAAGCATGTGTTGAAAGTGCAACCTAAGTGGACAATTGTAATTGGTTTTTCAGTAGTTTAATATATGTTAAAGACAGACACAGTTAGCGACCAGCTGGTGAGCATTCAGCAGCTGAAGAGCCAGATATTTCCGTAAGGAGTTGGTAGACACTGAAAATAGAGCTTAAAGAGAGTCAATATTGGACATTCATCAGAAACATTATTGATCATGTTGCTCCGTAACTGCTGGATGTGTGAATAAGCAACTGTTTGGTAACACTATATCAACTTAAAAGGTGACAATATGTCAGTGTTGTGGTCACAGCTTGGTTCCACTGATCCCAAGAGACTGTACAAATCTGTTCTTTCAAGTCAAGAATACATTTTGGGTATATTTTAGGTCTTTAAGCTTGTTTGCTACCTTTCTGGGAGTTACAGCAGGATATGTTTAGCCTAGCATTGCTCAAAGCCTGGAAGCAGGTGGAACAGCTAGCCAGATATAAAAAAATGACACCTTCCAAAAGCTCAAAAATAGTCTTCTCTACATGTTGTATCTTGTTAAGTAGTAATATGGGTTTGTACTGTGATAGTGTTCAGACGTATCAGACGTGTTTTCTTCTTCCTCCTCCTCAGGGTGTCATCCCCACAGCGCAGCGAGCAGCCATAGTCGTCGGGGTGGAACTTCCTGTCTATGACATAACGAAGAAGCACCTCCTTCGCTCTGGCGTCATGGGAGACACCATTTTGACACATTTCATGTAAGTTTATTTGTTCCTCTTTCAGGTCAAGGGTGGTAATCCTGTGTGATCATACAGGATGTTTTAAAGTAGTAGCTTTGCTTTGGAACTGCTTTTGTTGGGTGAACATTTGACTTTTGAATGAAGCTCCTCAGCTTTGGACTGGTCTGTTAACCTTGTCCTATGTCTGGATGTGTGTGCAGCTCAAGTTTCACGTGTGGTTTGGCGGGGGCGCTGGCCTCCAACCCTGTAGACGTGGTCCGGACCCGTATGATGAACCAGCGAGTTATGTCAGGAGGCCCTCTCTACAAAGGAACACTGGACGGAGTGATGCAGACGTGGAAGAATGAGGGCTTCTTCGCTCTCTATAAGGGATTCTGGCCTAACTGGCTGCGACTGGGGCCTTGGAACATCATTGTATCCTTTAAAACCTACTGAGTTCCTTTTACAGGTGGGAAAGACAAAGAAATCAGACTTTTGATCAAATAGTTCTTGAAGAAATTTGGGAATTCCATAAAAAGCATATAATTGGGTATGACATGTTTGATTTCTCCTGATATACTGTACACCAGACTGTTTATACTTTGAAATTCAGATTTTTTTGTCTGGATAACTTTAGAGTTGGGGGATATGAAGATATATCCCATGAGACAGTAGAGACATAGCTCAAACAGGTTAACAGCAGTCGAGCCACGTTTGAAGGAGGCTCGTTAATGACAGAGCATAATGATCGAAAACAACATGGTAACATCGGCAACAGCTGATGTGTTCACTGCTGCTCACTCTTGCTCTACCTGGTCAGTGCTGGTAAAAAAAAAAAAAAACAGTGCCAGAGAGTCTCTCTCACTAATGGATCGTAGATATTTGTAATGTGAGTGAGAGATGTGGCGCCAGACATGGTGTTAGAGAGAAGTGTAATGGCGGGGGGAAATTAGACTATGGTGGGCCACAGAGTAGGTAATTAATGGGAAACACAGCTTATGTAATAATGCAGTCATTATTATATGAGTACTGAGTACTCAAGGGTCAGACCACACACATCTCCGAACTTGGCCCTCATTTTGATCTTAACTACACAGCTGTACAGTTTTGTAACTGCATCTTGCACAGTCTGATGTCAGTACACTGAGAAGTTTCTATTGTTGTGATATCAATCATGAAGCTTTCCTTAACTCACGTCTCAGTTCTTCATCACCTTCGAGCAGCTGAAGAAGCTCCCATTTTAACACCAGCAGGAAGTGGGACTTCACAGGACTGTCAGACTGTGACGGGCATAAGTGGGGTGTGAGCACGGCAGCACCTGGAGTTTTGGCACCAGTATATTCACACTCCCCTCAAATTCATACGAATGATACAATACGGTATCAGTCATCTCTTCCTGCCCACCTAAATCTTATGTTGATTTCTCTTCTTTTTTTTTTTTTTGCAAAGTGTTTTATTTATTGTCACTGGTTTTGTTTTCGTACTGTTTTAAGGACTGCTGCTTTGATGATTTCTCTCACCCTCAACCACCGTTGAAACTCCCCAGGCAGCTAAATGTTTGATTGTAGCAGAAGAATTGGAAAGTTTGGGAGACTGAGTTTATTTCCTTGAGCTGATAAGAAAGACAGAGTTTATCATTGTGGATTGGGTGAGTGGAGTCTTGTGAACTTTGGCCTTTCTTAAATGACAAACGGAGATAGTGCTTGTGATTTTTTTGCTCAGGATTCCTACACGGGTCTGGAAAAATGGGGAAATTAATTTATTAATAAGTCCAGGAATTGCAGAATGTCAGTTCAGACATGCATGGTTAACTCAGTTTGAGGAGATTGGAAAAAGAAGAAATGAATAGGAAATTCTAAAATGAATGACGTGTAGGAACGCTGTATTTTAAATGCATGGGCACTGCATGAATGTGCTCGGAAAATAAGTCAGATTTATCTTGTGGAATTGCATGGAAGACAAACTGACTGTTACAGGTACTTACTGTACTGAGAGAGAGAGATAGAACAGCATTAAGACTGAACACTGACAAAGGGGAGGACATAATTCTCAACAGCACTCCAGAAGAGTTAGTCTCTCTAAGGAAAGTGACACTCCCATAAGTATTTCGTGATCTTAAGTATATTAAGGTGTCGCAAAGCCTCTGAAATTTCACAATGCAGTTTTAATCTTTAAGTGGGTCAGTTGCCAGAAAAACACTCAACACATGAACTGTTATCTGAATCATTTTTTTGTTAGGGAAAGCAATTTCTAGTCATATTGGAACACAAACTCTGAACATGAAGTTTAACCTGAAACAATCAGAAATCTGAACCAAAGCCTCTCACAACAAAACAAAGCCTTTTTTTCTTCAAATTTTTATTTTTAAGGACATATTCAGTCCAGGTCAGTCACTGCTAATGAAGTTTTTTTTGTTTTTGTTTGTTTGTTTTTGCTGTAGAGACATTTATTTTGTCAGTATTGGGAGCTGTGAGCGGTGCTTGCTGCCATAATTTTAATGAATGATCCGGTACATAATGTAAATCACTGTACAGACTCAGTCACACATGGAGGTGGATGTATTTTATCTTACGCATGTCCAGGTGTACATATGATGCCTTGTTCTGCTATTTTTACCTTTGTGTCCCTCGTTTGAGGTAAAGTGATGGCATGAATAGAAAAGTGGCAGCTGGTTTGGATAAAGAGGGCCTTTGTGCCAAAAATAAGTTTCTACCAAACTGGGTTAAATTAATTTGCAGATAATTCTTACAACATTTGAATTTTGTGAATCACATTTTTTTTTAACTTCCTGTGTCAAACAGACCAAATGCATTTTTTTTTGTTACATAACATAATTATTTATGGGAAGCCATATCTTAGCAGTAGTCCTAACACATGCTACGGATTATGTGCAAATACGTGTTGTCCCTTGTTTGACTTTGCACAGTGCAGCCTCTACGCCAGGTGACCTGGCTCCTTTTATCCACCTGCATCCCCGAACCTTTTTAAAATGTTATATTTTATTTGTATTATTTATTTTCCTTTTTTTTTTTTTGGGAAAGTTTCAGTTTCTCAAATTATTCAGATTTTGTTTTTTTAGATGGTCAGTCAGACATTTCTCATGTTGGCAGCGATGTTTTGTGGCTTAATAACTTCAGATGGGTGTCCCGAAATGATTTTGAGATGGAGACAAGTCTTCTGTTAGAGCACAAACTAGTAGTTCTATGACAAATATTTTACAATCTGTAGCTTCAACGGCACTGGCACTTGCACCATATGTATAAGGCTGTTCCCTGGTCTGTACTGTAGTTGCCTTTGTTATATTTAAGAGTGTAAACCAGCGGAGTGGAGCTGGTTTGACAGGCAGCAGTGTTCTCAGTGTGTCTTGGAGTCAGTGGTTGAACTCCTGAGAACAGTAGAGTCAATCGTTCCCAGCATATTTCTGCCTTTCTGGTGAATTTGATGTAAAGATATGTTACAGTCCTGGAGCCCTGCACTGTTACAGCCTTAGGCTTTACGTTAGTCACCTGTTCATAATGTTATTCTGTGGTAATGTTGCCCCTCTGCCTATACTGATGCATCATTTATCTCTCAGTGACTGACTGAGGTAACAGTCCTCAATATTGAAGATTAAAAAAAACCAAATACATTTCAGTGCATTTGCTTTTCTGAGCCATTTCAACCTTCTGTTAACAGATAGGCATAGCACTCAAGTACAGTAAAGTATCACAGTATCAACCACTGCAACCTACCATTAAAACATTTACCTTCCAAAAAATTGTGTGAGTTTTAAGTGAGTGAAAATCAGCTCACAGATATTCAGTGTGCGAGAGCAGAGTGAGTCTGGGTGCATGGATTAATCATGGGAATAGGGTCATGGCTCAGGCTGAGGTCAGAGGTCAGATGGAGATGAGGCTGTTTCCAGATTAATACGGATACATTAAAGACGCCTCTTTGTGTTTGGTTTTGGGTTTCGTCCACACTGATGCTTTCACCTGCTGAGACATTTTGTTTTTAAACTACCAAAATGGAAGGAAGGAAGAACATTTTCATTTATTTAGTAAAAGTTCCAAACAGTTTATTTTCATTTTCTACTTATTTTCTGTGTTCATAATGGAATATCTGGGGTTTTTCGACTGTTGATCAGACAAAACAAACAATTTGAGGGCATCGAGGTCATCTTTGGGTTCTATGAAATTCTGATGGGCATTCGCTTATATTGGACATTTTATAGAATCAACAATTAATTGATTAATGGAAAAAACAAATCTATGAAAATAATCATTAATTGCAGCCATAATTGTGTTGGCTTTGTAAGATGAAAAACAAATCTTTAGAAGCAAAATTCCACTGTGGATGGAAACCTGTTGGACATTGGCATTTTCAGATCGATTCATATTAGCTTGAATATTACAGAATTTGTTGGACATGTAGTTTTGTCAGAATATAAATGTTCATTGGAAGGTGAAACACATTAAACTGGACTGAGATGCAGCACATTGAGAAACAAATCAATACACAAATCTCTAAACTCTTATTTAAGCTAGTTGTAAAGGTTTCTTTTATGGTAATAAAGTTGCTCTGTGTGTACCTTTTGCACATGCTGTGAATGTAAATGCTATTGTGACACTTGGTCTGGTAAATTATAAGACCGTGTGTCTATACAACAAAGTCATGTCATCATATGTAAAGGGTCAGAGTTGCCCAAATCACCAACAGAACATTATACTTACTTACCTCTAGTCGTATCCCTTGTGGTACTTTGAGTCATTTGGGTGATCTGACCCTTAGACCTGCTGGACAACCAGGAGTGCTTGTTTAAAAGGAGCCGACTGATTTTAGCTTTCGCTCTCGATGTTCATCAATCATGTTCATTTGAAGAACGTGTCATCCTCAGCTGATCAGCGTCACATCACAGCCTGATGTGTTCACTGTGTCCAGCCTTTAAAACGCCCTGTGTTTCAGCTCTGTGATTATTGTGTTGTTAAAGTTGTCGTTATGGCTTAATTATTTTAGAGCCATATTTGGGAATGTTCTGTTAAGGGCTTCTTTTTTTCTTTTTAGTTTTGCTTTTTATGTGGATCTGATTTGACTCTAGAATGATTCATTTATTTATTTGACTCTGTGTTCAGTGAACCTGAATACAGTTCAGCGGATGCTGCTGTCCATTCCTGCACAAATCTCTTTATAAAGCATTTCATTCTAACACTGTCATGTTTGATTTTTATTTTAGTTTTTTAATTTGAACTGTTACTATGTGCTCTGAGTCGACCACATGCTGTCACTTATTTGCCTAATAATTCATTCCCTTCACCACTATTGTATGTTTATGGTGAACAATTTGAGCTTCCTTTACAAGGAAATCAGCACCAAGCTGAAAAGCTGTGTTTCACCTCTGACCGTACACAGCATCGTTGTTGGGTGTGGTCAGAAATGTGTTCTGTTGCACCTGTAACCACACCCAACAGCGATGTCACAGGGGTCTGGAGTACACCTGTATGTCACTGCAGCACGGTGAGAAGCTAAACCATTGGAGATCAGTAAAGACCTCTTAGTAAAGACATATTTTGAATTAAGTTATTTATCTGTATGTTAATACAGAGTGGCTGTAGTTTTGTTTTTTTGGACATAGCAGTAACCTAAAATCATTCTTAAAGGGAAAAACTGCAACAATTTCTTTGTAAACAACAGGCGGGCACCGTAACTTCCCAGAAGAGCTGGATAAGCTGTTTGTTTCAAGATATAGTTACAGCCCATCACTCCAGGATGTGGTACAGCATAATGAATCTGCGAGGTTAAATATGTGGCTAACAAATTTGTTGAACTATTGACCTGATAAGTGGATTTGCGTGTATTCACTTCTTCCTACAAGCTAATTGCACCAACTGCGATGATTCCATCAGAATACACAGAAATTGCCAGAAAATTGGGCTGTGTTTAAATGCTGGTGTGTCCAAGACTTTACTCTCATACCTGCATCAGTTTGCAGTAAAATATCTCACTAATGATGTCATTTAAGTAGGGGCGGAAACTTTGATGAGTCTAAATTGATTTGTCTCCAACCTCCCCAGACGACAAGTCATCCGTTTCCTAAGTCACACACCAGCTGTGTGTATAAAGTGTGTATTCCTCTCAGGGAGGGTCCTGTCTTTAGGGTACACCAGCAGAGATCTGAATGTGACTCCTTGGTACTAGACACTGTGGCTAGATGTTCCGCCATGTAAGGGAGTCCCGCTGTTTTCCTTATCCTGTCCTGGTCTTAGGTCTGGCCTGGATTCACACAATCCATTTGTACTCTGCATCTCACGGTCTTCATAAACGGATGGGAGATTGCTCATTTGAGAGCTCCAGAAAAGGCTTGAAAGGGGAGCATGAGTCAAGGTTATTTTGGCAAACTAGCAGCTTTGACATCAGTATGAATCAAGAGACTTGTCTTGAACAATCCTCACGCTCCAAAAAATAAGGAAAGTAGATCCAAATGGTCCAAATCACTCTATGTGAAAGCTTGGTTTAATAAAATGTTTTTGTTAAGAGTAGGGTTTTTTTAATTTTTTCTTATGATTGTGCAGCAGCGCTTTATGAAAGAGCGCTTGTGATTGATAGAAAGAAGTCAGAAAATAGTTCCCTCCTGACAAGAGAACTTCTTCAAACAACAATCTTTTTCTCTGCTTGTGACTTGTTTGTTTGTCCTCGCTTGAGCACCGTTTCCCTGTCTCATGCTGAACAAAACAAAAGCACTGTTACATTGATCAAATTAAGAAGACTGGCGACCATTCATTTAGTACTGGATTTTGGCCTGTCGGCATCATTCCTCCTGATCGCAGCCTGAGGGTCTGCAGGGAAATTGGGGATTTTTTGTGGTTTTTTTGTTTACTGATATGATTGTTCAGTCACATTTTCTAAAGGAATTCTTCCTTTTTAAAGGCCAAAGTTGTGCACCCTCTACTAAACAAACTTCATGTAGGTTTTTAAAGGGAGAGTTTGTGTCCCACTTCTATTACGACGCTCCAGAGGCTTCAGTTCAAAGGCGTCAGTCAAAATGTTTCGCCTTTCTGATTTTAAAATACTTCTGAGTCTGGGAATTGTTATTAACTGACAAATCTGCATCTGTGTAGCCATCTGACAGGAGAAGAAAATCTATAAATATTTTTGTAAATTTTCTCTTCACTTCCATCATTTGCACTTTTTGTGTGTCATTGTTGTCTATAACCTTTACGCTTGTTTCACTTGATGAATTTCTATGGTGGAAGTTTTAAGATTTTTGTTTTCCTTTGACAGAATGGGTTTGGCTTTATATAAATTCAATGTTCACTCAAATAAAATATATGCTGTGATTGTTTCTGTATCAGATTCTTTCTTTTTGCTCTTTTGGGTTGGGCTGGTAAAAATCAATATCCTGGATGTTAATATTAAATGTGCATAAAAAATATGTAAGTTCAGAGAAAAAATCTGAGAATGAATTTTTAAATTCATGGAGTCACTCATTGTGAATCTTTGGACAGAAACTGGACAGAGAAAAGCTTTTGCCAGCTTCTTCAAGACTGAAGAAGAATGTTGTGTAGTGTCTACATGTCAGCACAAGATGAAGCTGTTGAGTGAAAGGATGACACTAAGGAGACTTCCCAAAAATACTTAATTGTAAACAGAAATATTTACATGGCACCTGTAGAATTATGCAGCTCTAAACCTTAAGTTTTTTAGTTCACTATCATTTGACAAAGAAAAGCAGCAAATCCTCACATTTGAGAAGCTACAACAAGCAACTCTTTAGCATTTTGGTTGATTAATTTGATTAGAAAAAAACTCAACAGAAGAAAGAAAAATAAACACTAAGTATTTTGATAATCAGTTAATCTTTTAAAGTCATTTTTCAAACAAAAATATCAAACATTGTCTAGCTACTTAAATTTGAGGATTTGCTTCTTTTCTCTGTATTATACCCTATCATTGTGAACCGGATATTTTTGGACAAGTCATTTGAAAGCATCAACTTGGGATCAGGGACATTATGAGGGACATTTTTGATTATTTATTATTTAATTAACTTAATGGAATTGAAGTTAATTGAGAAAATAATATATATTCCTCCCAGTCTACAGTATGGACTCTCCACAAGATCAGACAGCAGCTTCACTCCTGAATCCCTCAGGCTGTTTTCACTCAGGTCCAGGTCTCTCAGATGGGAGGAGTTGGACTTCAGAGCTGAGACCAGAGAGGCACTGTTGATTGCTAACAAACTGCACCGACTCAGTCTGAATAAAGAATACAATAACTGGTTCCTGCTTAAAATAATCCAATGTTTACTAATCTGTTTAGAGCCAACATTTGGCATTTTATGGTGCTTGAGTGTAAAAATTACAGCAAAGGCTAACAGTGGAAGTTGTTAGGGAAGTTGTTCCAAAATGTGGTGCATAAAAAACTAAGTGCTGCCTCTCTGTGTGTATTCTAATGAACTGCATGGTATGTAAATCCTCACACCAGTAAATATATTATGTCTTAAACTCTTAAATGGAGATTTGTGGGAAATGTATCTAAAATGATACTCTCTTTTGCACCAACATCATATACCTTAAACAAAGAGTTGAGCAATGATACACAATATAGTGTCAGACAGTGTGGAATAAGGTGACATTAACAACCTTAAATCTTAGTTACTTCAATTTTAATTTGATTAAATTTAAAGAAATTTCATATTATATTTTTTTATATGCATATATATATTAAATTAATGAGGGAGGAAACCGGAGCACCTGGAGTAAACCCTTACCAATACTGGGAAAAAATACACAAAAATAAAACTATAACGACGCTCCAGAGGCTTCAGTTCAAAGGCATCAGTCAAAATGTTTCACCTTTTTGATTCTGAAAATACTTTTGTGTGTGGGAATTGTTATTAACTTACAAATCTGCATCTGTGTAGCCATCTGACAGGAGAAGAAGACAGAAACTCAAAGCTTTTATCAGCTTCTTCAAGACTGAATTTAATGAAATGTCATATTTTTTTGTATGTATATATATATATATATATATATATATGGGATATACATGAATGTGGGGAGGAAAAAAACCAGAAGGGGAGGTGGGGCTGGGAGAAGTGGGAGAGGGGGGTCATCTGTTCAAGAGTTGGAGCTATCACTGAAGCAAGCCTGGAAGGGCTTCACAACAGCTTTGTCCACAGATGAGAAGAACCTGACAACTGCATTCTTGACTCTTGAACATTTGTTGATCGCTGTCAATATTACCATTAGCTTTTTGTTCGAAGTTGAATAAGTTACTTCACAAGGTCCCTGCTCAATGACCAAAAACATTGGCCTCTCCTCTGCCTTGCAGTGGAGTGATGCTGGAATCTCTGAGGTGTTGCACAGCGGTGTGCAATGGCAGTTCACTAGGCGCGAGCATCTAAGTATTTGAGTAACTAAACCAACCATAGTATTAAGCGTTGGGAAAGAGATGCAGTTACACTGAAAATGTGAGGGTATTATCGGCAAAACCGCTGTGTTCAGTATCGCAGCAATGCGACAGTTGACTCTTGCCGTCACTTCTCTTGCAACTAACTCGATAAATCTGCCTAAGTTTTCGCAGTTAACATTTGTATACAACGAATTGCAGAAACACTGTGGAAGGATGTTTAGCAAATTAGCCAGGACATTCTTCTCATCTATGCCAAAGAAACACTGGTCAGGGTTTATGTGCGCGTATATCCGAGGGGCTTTCCTGTGCCAGTCTGAAAAAACAGGTCTAAGTGATTCCATGATAGTCATGGCAGACAAATTAACGATGTGCTGACATAAGTCAACCAGTATAGTCGCACTACAGGTGTCGTGGATGCCAGATTCCACCGATTCCCAATGGTTTTTAACCAAAAACCTTAGATACGGCTCGATGCATATCTCATTTTTTTTGATCAGAGGGAATTTCACGTGAGCGCTCAGTACGAGTCCTGATGAATACATGCTGAGTATAGGCGGATTTTCTGACGTCTTCCCAGGCCAGATCTGACAATGATCAAATGGGCAGTTGAAGTTAAAGTGAGGTCAAATAACATTCAATCAGGTCGTCTCAACCTCTTTAACTTCTGAGTTCTTATCTCATGAGATATTCTTCCATAAATTAAAAATCTACTCTGTTTTTCCGAATTAACGAGTTATTGTCTCACCCCTAATCTTTCTCATATCTAATTAACGACATACCTCCAGCATGTCTCCATCCCCAGTAACGGCCCAACTGAGCCTAACCCAAATCCTATAAACAACTTCCAGCATGCAGTAGGCCAATGGGGCTCTCAGCCTGACCCAAAGCCCATAACACTGGCTCTCCAGCTCATCCAGCAGGCCCATGCAGAGCTCCATCCCGTAGCCTTCAACCTCGGGTACTCTGCTGTTCTCAGCTTTCCTCTCGTTCCCACACACCACTGCGTGCAGGGACGCTGGAAGTCACAGTTGGGGGTGTGACTGGACGCGAGAGAGAGAGAGAGAGAGAGAGAGAGAGAGATGTGACCCACACAAGTTAAGTTTATAATGAAGCATTGCAGTGAGGGTACAGACGCGGATCTATGTGTCTGTACACTGGAGACTGTGGACACGGAGAGCGACACCGACCTCCACATTAACAAAAACTCCTCTAAATAATATTGAATTCATTGCACCGTGGACATTTAACATGGTGTGGCTTCTTTCCTCCAAGTTTAACTTCATCCAGCATCTCCTGTGCGCATTAGAGCACAGTAACAGAAAATACAAGTTGATCTTAACATGAGCCAATATTATCATACTTAACAACTTACAAAAGGAGTCAACACACCCTCTGTGCTTCTGCCTTTCTTCTCTCTACTTCCTGTGCATTCAATTTTTGTCTTTGTTTAGCATAATGTCCCTACCCAACATGCATTGTGTTGTATATTTCAGCACAGTCTGATTTTCATTGGAAGCCTGTAAATCAATACAAATATTAATAATTCAGTTTTGTAGTGTACACACATAACTGAGCTGCTGTGTGAAAGCCCCACATCAGCACTTTCAACTGGGTTTCTCACCTTGTCTCTACATGATCTGTAAACAAGTTGTTTTCTGAGTTCTGTGGGTAAATTTAATTAAATATGTGAAGTTCTTGAATTAACGTGGAGGGATGTTTGTGAAACTTGACGTAACTCTCCTTTTGTTCTGTTGTTTTGGTGAACTGACCTTTAAAAGTTTACTGTGTGGAGATTTTAGAGACAAATTCAGTGTACTTTTTAGTTTCTGTGCCATACAGCGGTCTTCTAATTTCTTTCATGTGGGACATTTCTCTTAAGTGCTGCAAAGAATGGGTCAGTTTTTTGATTTTCTTAGAGAAAGGTTTACTTTTTTACTTTGACGTAAGCAGTCAGGCTGTGCGTACACACACACACACACACACACACACACACACACACACACACACACACACACACACACACACACACACACACACAGACATAGTAATCAAGTCAACCAGCTTCAGGTGTGTCAGCTTAGCTCACACAGCTGAACAGTGGTTTTATTAAACCACATGAGAAACTAAGGAGGGAGTGACTCTTTTTGGATCTGATGTGTGTGAGGTTTCTACTACTGAACAAGCTGCTGCTTCATACACAGATTTAGACATATGGAGATATATATGATTTGTTATGTATTGGTGTTGTGGCTTTAGAAAAATCAATGCTCTCTCTAGAGCTCTACCAGCAAATGTGTTTGCTTAAGTTGTATGGCCTCCAGTTTGTCTTGTTAGTTTTATGTAATCATTTTGTTTTTCTATAACAGTAGGATTACCCTACACATGTTTTATTCTCTGTAGAGGTTTTAACAGTACAGGTTTGAGTTTGCGGTGTCCGGTCAGGTTTGTTAAGGCAGAGGTTAAAGAGTGAGTGAGCGTGTAGCCATGAAGGAGGAGATTGCTGCTGCTGTGTTCTTTGTGGCTCGGCTAGTGAAGAGATATGGTTGTCTGGATAATGATGGCAGGGAGCGCTTTGCTGCCGCACTCACCTCCGTTTTGTTTGAAAACTACAAAAACCACTGGCACCCAAACGCACCCACCAAGGGTCAGGCCTACAGGTCAGTAAACTTTTCTCTTTGTGGGGGGGATTAGTTTAAGTTTTCCCAAAAAAAAAAAAAACAAGTTAATCAAAGTAAGATAATGGACAAAGAGGGACAAAATATAAATACAAATGCACATCAATATTATTACGAATGGACATTTTTATTCATGAGCAGTAAAATGCACACTTTCACACTTAAGTACACATTTAGGGTGGCAAAAGTTATCAGACATTGGTAGGGGAACTGACTTAATGACTCTACTTTTGCTACTGTTAGAGGTTGTAGCATTTACCATTATCCCACAATTTTCACCTTTATTCAGCGGATGTCACTCAGTCTGACTTTAAAAATATTCAGCAGCAACACTACAGTCCAGAAAGTACCCAGGTACTCTTGAATAGACTTTACAAACTACTTTGTACCAAAGAAATCATCAGATTGAACCCTGTTCATGCATGTTGCAGCATGTTCTTGTTATCCAGAGTAACTTTTTTTTTATATCTATAAATAAAAAGTAGTTATTGTCACTCTGATAACACTTTCAGCACTTTTCACTGGGATTGTAGTTTTTGTTCCTGAGCATCACAAATGGAATTTCATTCTACTTTACTTTATTGGGAATGAGGCACAAATCTGATATACCTAAAAATCTGGATGAATAAAGCTATAGCGATCTACAGATGGCGCTATAGGTAAAAGAAAATTTGTTAATCTGTGAACCAACCTAATGAAATTTTAAATATTCCACTTTTTCAACAAAAATCCTCTAATCTAATATTGACGATGCATAGTAGTGTTTTGTTGCCGATTGTCACTGCTGTGTTTCAGGTGTCTGCGTATGAACCGTATGCAGCTGCAGGACCCAGTTCTGCAGCAGGCCTGCGAGCGGGGCGCAGTGCGGTACGAGGATCTGGGCCTTCCACAGGAGCTGACTGTGTGGGTTGACCCTGGAGAGGTGTCCTGCAGGTCAGGATGTGTAATTTGAGCAATTTGTTTTTTTTTTTTTTTTTTGGGGGATTAAGCATGAACCACACTTTAGCTTTGGCTTCACACCATCACTGCTCACTATTAGCTTACGGTTTCAACCAAGTAATTGCTAAATTAGATTATTTTAGTCATATTATGATGTCTCTTTATTTTAGGTTAAAAGCTCATTCAGCCCATTTTAATTGATGGAAAATTAAATGAATAGTTTACATTTTAAGTCCATTTTAACTGTTTTGGAGGGGGAGAATTTGTCGTCTTGCCAAGATTTATGAGACAATTAATACCATTCATGTCTATATGCTAAATATGAAGCTAGAGCTGCAAGCAGTTAGCGTAGCTTAGCAGTGACTTGCTGTAGTCTTCCTGGAGTCGCCTAGCAACCTCAGTGATGAGACTTTCCTGGCCAAAAAATGGTTCCAGCACAAACTCTCTGTAAACACAAAGACAGCAAGTTGTGGATTTACAGTTTATGTATAGATTTAAAAAAAACTAGATGCTAAATCTTCACGTTCAAACATGACAGGACCGCTACCGGAGCCCTGACGCTCACGAACATTGGCGAGCTGATGTTGCTGACAGTGTCCGACTAGAAGTAGTGCTTTTATCACTGGTGCAAAATATGGTTGCAATTTTCTTTTCCTATTAGTTTTTTCCTCCTTGCAGGTACGGCGAGCACAGCACTCCATTCTGCGTCTCAGTGGTGAACAGCTGTCGGCGTGGAGATGGTGAATTTTCCCGCCGAATCCATGACGCCGTGGAGCGGGCGAGCCTTGACGTCCAATCAGGCAGCTCTTCAGACGAGGAGGAAGAAGGGGGGAGCAGAGACACCAGCATGAGTAGCAGCAACCTATCTGTTCTCTGCCCTGCTCCAGTCCCGCCCACCAACCCTGAGCCCAAAACCATCCCAACTGTCAGCAACCCCAACAGCGTCTACCGGGTAGGTTGACTACAAAAAATGTTTCTATGAACTATAACCATGATTTCTTTGTGACTTAAACCATACTGTCGCTAGGTCAGTGTCCCTCATCTTCAAAATATGATGCTGTAGGTATCCCTCTAGCATACTGTCTGGATGGGCCTGCCCTCAAAGTCAGCTGTCATTTTATAAACAGTGAGAGAAATCTGCATACAGAGGTGGATGGACAGGACTATTGTCAGAAATGGAATACAATATGCAGAACTGCTTTCATTATTGTGTGTGTACCTAAAATAATTTTGTTTTTTTAGAATGAGCCTTTTAATCTACAGATGCTGTGGACTGCCTTCCATGGAGTCTGCCATGTTTAACCACCATGTTTCTACAGTAGCCTAGAGGGAACAAGCCAAACATTGGTTCCAGATAGGGGCGTTGGCATGTTTTTCACAGCCAACATAGTTTCTCCTTCATGCTTGGAATGAGAGAGTGAAGCGAGACAGTTGCGATCTGCAACTACACTGCTAGATGTCACTAAATCCTACATGCTGGACCAGTCGGATGGCAGGCAGCATTATCTTTGCTTGGCAGTGACTTCTGGTTTCTTTGCGAGGAGCCTAGCAACCCCAGAGTGACAATATTTGAAGGGTCATTGTTCCTGGTTTCCAGCACCACCCTGTGAAACAATAACTTGCTGTCTTTTTATATTTCGGTTTGTGAATTTGATGAATCTGAGATGCTAAGTCAGCCTTACTGGTATGTTCGTATCTGGAGTCTAAAGGAGTTTTGACCACAGAACATTTGAATTCTGCTGAATGAATTTGGACATTTTCTGCTTTTCTTTGAGCATTTAAAAGAGCTGTAACTCTATTAACCTATGGTAGTTTACAGCTGAAAAGAGCAGTTAGTAGATACAGAATCTTAAACCCTTTTGCTCCTCTTGTCCACAGTTCAGCGAGTTTTCTCCAGCCGCTCCTCAGACCTGGCTAAGGGAGAAGCGGAAGGCCTTTGCTGGTGATGCATTCCCACCTCACGCTCCTCCACCTGGAGGTCCAACCTCCCAGTTCTCCAGCCAGAAAGGCTTCAAGTCTTATCGACCCACATTCACCTTTTCTGGGCCTCGTGTTGATAAGTACCACTGGGTCAGCAAATCCCGATCCTAGAGCAGGCCAAGCCTTCAACCTAGAATAAAAATCAGGTTACTGTTTGGGACCGGAGCAAGGACGGCAGCCATGATGCCGGACCAAAGCAAACTAGACCCTGGTTGCAGGGGTGGGAAAAAAAAGTTTCAGTACAGTTTATGTATCTTTAAAGGATACGAGTTTATTATTCGTACATGGTTTAAAGTAATGCTGTTTAAGCATGTTTTTAAACATATTTGTATTTTAAGTAATTGTGCCTTTATAAATGTGTTTTTAAATTAAAGAAAGTGTGAATAAAGTAACATTGAACTGTCATTGAAAAGAAATAAATGCGTCCGTGTCACTAACACTAATTTAGCCAGATGTTAGTGTTACAATCAATAATGCATTTCCTCATTAAAATAAAAAAAGCTTTAAAGCTTCATTTTGTTGCCTCTATGTGCTGTAGTTGTCTTAACATGTTTTTGTGTAACATCTCAAGGAGAAGTCTGTGGGACAAGCAATCGTGCTTTTAAATCTACTGCCAATACAGCTCAGTGTTGAAGCTACTGTGGCTGAGCAGTTGTTTGTGGTGGTGGTTGTATTGGTAGTGTAGTTAGTGATTGGAGTTTAAGAACAATCAGCTAACAACACTGCCTACACAGCAACCCCAATCACATACACATACATACCCATCAGGAATCAGGAACATTGCAGTAGATGCTAGTGTGAAAGGACCAACACAGTAGATATAGACTGATTCTTCTGAATTTGATCAGATTGATGATCATGCAGCCAGTTAGCTTAGCACAAAGCTGGAAACACAGGGAAATTTATTTAATCTTGTTCGATTAATCCATAAAAAAACGAAGAGGGTCATGTTTCGGACTACTTCCTGGTTCTGAGCAGTTGCCAGGCAACCAGTGTAGTCCCAGCCAAGAAACAGTCTTTGTTACAGTTTTGATGAAGTAGGCCTATCCAGTCATCTCACTGCAATACCATTTTTAAGCTTCATATGTATTTTTTATTTTTGCTCAAGCACAAACAAAGATGAAAACAAAAGAATAAATACAATTAAAAATATAAGTCATTTTAAGGTACTTACTGAACCCCCAAGAGCTCCCAGATTTGGTTATATGGCATCAACAGGATAATTTTCTTCCTCATTCAACTACTGAAGCCAGTGCTCATTTGTTACACAAGAATATGTTGAAGGAGGAAAAAACATTGATTTCTCAGAAATCAAAATCAGTTTTTGGAATCCTTGCCATCCCCTTCTTGCTCTGTCACACTGGGAATAGGCCAAGGTTAGTCTTTTTCCTGTATGGCACTGGCATTTTAACAAGTTAACATATTGGGTAATTAGCAAATATCAATTAGATGATGTTATATAAAATTATATATTATTATATATATTAAATTAGTTTACCAATCACTGAGGCAGCCATGATTCAATCAATTATAGATGAAGAATAGATTCTTATTCCCAACGTCGTTTTACTCTTCTTCATGACGCTGAGTTGGGAAAGAAGGCAAGAAAGCAGGACTCTGATTGGCTGTTGCTGACTGCTGGAACATCCAAACGTTGGTTGGGTTTTGCAGCTGCTGTGCTCTTAATGAAGTAAACTCTTCTTCTGAAAGCTCCGTCCACGGCCAGATGATTGGATTAACAAAAACACTTCAAAAACATTTGCACACATGTGAACAACAGCCTGGTTTAAAGAGAACTGCTGGTGACGTCCTGTATAAAACCTGTATATGTGGATAGATGAGTGCTGTGATCTTGCCTGCGGTCGCTGCAGTTCTCATCGCTCTGTTTAGAAGTGACCACTGCTGGAGAAACACAACCGTCTCCACAGCTACATTTTACTGTGTGCGTGTGTGTGTGTGTGTGTGTGCCTATGTCTCAGGTCATGCCTCGACTTGCCCCTGGTTGGCAGGTATAGTTGATGTTGCCGGGGAGAAGCAGTCAGTGGCAGGAGTAAACACTCGCCCTAAGCCCCAGGATTTGCCAGTTTTGCTGCGTTTCATATGACCACAGCGCTCTATGTTTTTACAACATGTATTCATTTATCAGCCTCATCTCTGTTTCAAACTCTGGAGGCTTTGCAGTACCCAGATCTTTGATTGCACTCAGGGTTATCATTCACCCGCATACACGTCACAGTTTTCACAAAGTAGTACTCCTTGTGCTGATTAATCTTCATGTGTAAAATTGGTGGAGTGCCCCTTTAAGATGTTTTTATACTTTGGTTATAAGATAAATTCTCCAACCCAATAGTTCCAACCGACGGCCCTTTGCTGCATGTCATCCATCCATCTCTCTCTCTCTCTCTCTCTCTCTCTCTCTCTCTCTCTCTCTCTCTCTCTCCCCCACTTTCCTGCCATACATCCACTCTAAAAATAAGGCAATAAAAAACCCCAAAAAGCAATCATAAAAAAAGAAAGGAGAAATAAACTACCTCCACAAGCTGAATGGGATGGATGTCTAAGTGACTATTCTGATGACGTGATTTGGACTGGAGGTGTGGCGATATTACATCAGGACTACATGACCAGACTGTTATCTTTAAATGTGTTTACTGTTTTTGTCTAGCTTGTTTTGACACAAGAAAAATCTAAATAACATATTAAATAACGGAAAAGACAGAGAAATAGAACTAATAATACAACCTAATACAACCAATTTGAGTATTTTTGGGGCATTTTAAGCATTTCTAGATAGCAGAGAAAATGAGGGAACGAGTGATGCAATAAGAGCTGATGCATTGGAGCAAGGTCATTTCAGGCTACCCCCTTTGCTTGGAATAAAAAACAGAGTTGCACCTTTAGAAATTAGTTTTTTTTTTTTTTTTTTAGGTGCAGCCAACTGAATATTTAAGGTCTTTGATGTAATAATAATACATGAGAGTGACAATGTGGTGGAAGTAGGTAGGTAGGTGACTACTTTTAGCCCAACAAATTAGGTACAAATACATTATTTTATATTCCTCTGTCAAAATGTAATTCCCGTTACCGGTTACAATGTAGGGTGCTTCAGTTTTTCCCCGTGTAGTAGACACCAAAAAACAGTATTTCCATTTGCAAAACAGAAAATGCTCGAAATAATTAGTGCTTTCAAACCTCTTCTTCATCAAAATCACATGTAAAGAAAATAATACTACTCCCTGTTCAGACACCGAAAATCCAACCTTGGTATGGCTGCAGTAATGTCATTACTGAGTGTAACTGGACTAAATCTGAGTTTGTGCACACAAATATCACTTTATTTGATATTCGTGGATATTCCTGCCCTTCTGATAGTACATTGTCCAATATGACACTGCAACAAAGTTGGACAACCATGTGGATTTTCCCATTTTACATTTGCACACCTTACATCACAGCTAATTTCCCTACCCTATTTACATCTGTTCTCAGCCATGACCGCATAACAACCTGATATGTATCTTTACATGTACTCCTAATGAATACAGTCAGATGTACAAGACTGCAGAAGACTCCCAGGTGAACCTAACCTGCAGTTGTGTTATGATCCCCAAAATGCCCCATGCTTTCTGTGTGATAGTTGAATGAAAAGTAACGTGTGAAAAGAAACAGAACTCTTTGAAAGGTAAGCGAATGCATTTGAAGTTGCGATAAGGGCATCACAGCACTTTCAGTGTTAGAAGATCATTCGTGTAAGTGCATCGTATCAAGAAAAACAGAGGCTTCACCGCCTTACCTCTTTTCTTCTGTTAAAAGTAATTTATTTGAATGTAAACATCACAATCTGTTTATTACAAAACAACAAAAACATTTTTAAACTACAATTTCACATAATAACAATAACAGTCTAATGTGTCTGCCGGTGTACAGACACTGTACTGAAATAGAAACTGCGCAGAAAGATGAAACCCCGCAGTGAACAACTGTTTTTCACACTTTTCATATCCGCCACGCAAAATAAAGGCATACAACAGAGTGCCCGTTGCCATAGCATTAAAACGCCGCACACGCAAAGCTAACGCATCGATTAAAAAAATAATAATAATAAAAATAAAAAAATGTCCTTAAATCTCAAACAGCAGCGCAAAGAAACGGCGAGAGGACGACAGGATGGAAACAGGAAGGACATTTGGCTGCTGTGTTTGTTTGTCATCAGTGCGCCAGTCAATCAACCAATCACGTTACGTCTTCATTCTCGAAAGCGAGCCGACTGTCCAATCACAGACTCCCTCGTTGCGACGTCCCCCAACGCTCGGCCACATCCGGTCGTATATATGTTGCCACGAGTTAGCGGCGAATTTGGAGAGTGTCCATTTTGAGCAGCGAGTCGGCGTCTCCGGTATTTTTTCCCCCCTTAAAGTAAGTAGACTTACATTGTTGTTAGTGGAGACTTTAAAGTGAACTCGGGTGAGGAAGTTTAGACTCTTAACGCGGGTTTTTCTCCTCTGTGGACTTTGTCCCCGCGCTGCTTTTGTCTCTAATGTGTTTTTTCTAGTTAGCAGTAAATCCAGCTAGCTGTCCATTAGCCGCAGCGATGCTAAGTACGTTAACGCGGTTATTGCGCTCAGCCTATTGTGGTAAGAAATTCAGCCATTGTTCTTTGTGGCGCTCATTTGTGGGGGTCTTTATCTTTCAGTGCATGCCGTGTTTTTGCTGGTTGTTTTGATTTAGGGTTTTTTTTTTTTTGATGGCTCGGTTGTTAGCCGGGGCCTGCGCTTTGCTGCGAGCGGCAACCATGCAAAGCGCGGTCCGCTTGAACACTGGACCATGGGAGATTCACGCCGGGTTATTGATTCTTTTTGTTGGATGCAAAAGTCTTAATGTGCACGTAAACGGACCAGTGTATGTTCGTAGTAATTGCTACCTGCAGCACGGAGGGTGAAGTTAGCTTTGTGACCACTACGAAGACGAAAGATGTAGTAATTAAAACAAAGAGAAGTAATTGTGTTAACCATGCAAAGGAACGGTGTGTTAGCTCTGAGCTTTATATTCCGCTTTAATACTTAATGCTATCATTTAAACTGGGCACATGTGTGTAACGAAATGCATTTGAATGAATTGGTCACCCCTTGCGTTCACCCAAATGTGTTATGCAAGGTTAGATTAACAACTGGGCTTCTATACTCTGGTCCTGGACCTGAAGTTCTCCAATAAACCCATACTAACGGTGTCAGTTGCTTTTTGCTGATAGTGCTACTAATAAAGTAGGATTAAGTTATGATTTATTGTATTTGTTTGCAATCATTTTCCCACAAAACAATTTATCAGACCTGATGAAAGCACGCGTTTGTTCATGCTTCGTTTGTTTTTATTAGTATTTGATGCTCCTTTGTTGCATTAGTCAGTATTCATTCATCTCTAAGGTCATTTAAAGTTTGTCTTGTCCTATCAGTCTCTTTAAGAGCCCACCGTCAGAATGGCAGATGCTGAGACTCTCCTCATGGAGACATCGGACCAGAACGGCAACGAGGGAGAGGAAGACCAGAATGGAGCTGAGCAGGAGCTGATGGTTGGAGAGGATGTCCAGGATGACCAGGAGGAACAGGAGGACCAGGAGGGGCAGGAGGGTCAGGAAGGCCAGGACAATGGCACAGACGGAGGCAAGATCGATGCCAGCAAAGGAGAAGAGGATGCTGGGTTAGTGTTGAGTCCCTGAGACCCGTCTCACTCATATGAATGAGCATGTTTGGTATGCACTAAAATGTAAACAAACTGTTTCACTGGTGGCTGAATTAAACAGAGGGTATTGAAGGCATTAGTAGCATGTCTTTCCAGTTGATCTTGTCCATGACCCCCATAAGATAAGTGTACAGGAGTAAGACATAAATGGCAAGGTGTCGCATTGTGTTTGCAGTAAAATGTTCGTGGGCGGCCTCAGCTGGGACACGAGTAAAAAAGACCTGAAGGATTACTTCAGTAAGTTTGGCGAGGTGTCGGACTGCACCATCAAGATGGACTCAAACACTGGCCGATCTAGAGGATTCGGCTTCGTCCTCTTCAAAGACCCCGCCAGTGTTGACAAGGTATGTCTGCTCTTGCTCGTGCATCTTAATCGTCAGTTGCATTTGGTGCGGAGCATTGTTTCTATACACACAGCAAGCTTTCACACCAGCAAAAGCTGTTGCTAGCAAATAGGCTTGATTGTAAAGTGTTGTGACTGCTCTCTAATTAAATTTTAATGAGCATGCAGTTCTTAAAGTGGACCACAGACAAAGTAGTCATGTTGATCTCTTTTGTGTTGCTCAAAATTTAATTAGGTTTCACACACTTAAAAAAAAACATGGCCAAACTGTCACATGATGGAGGGGCAATTCCCAGTCTTGATTCATTATTGTTGCGTGTCCGTACTAACCATGTTAACACGTATCGTCTGCAGGTGCTGGAGCAGAAGGAACACAGACTGGATGGACGTCCAATCGACCCTAAGAAGGCAATGGCAATGAAGAAAGAGCCCGCCAAAAAGATCTTTGTTGGGGGTTTGAATCCTGAAGCAACTGAGGACACCATCAGGGAATATTTCGGGGCCTTCGGAGAGGTCAGTTTAATTGAATAGAGCCATTAAAATTGCTGATACACAGTAGACCCTCTCTTCTTCCAGTATAGTCCTGTATGCTCAGCCACATGTAGTTAAGTCATTTAACTGTGAGTAGTGGGGCATGGCACCCATCGCCTATGGTGATGGTTCTCAAACTTTTTGGTGTCAAGGACCCTCAAATGAATTAACATCAGGCCGCAGAGCCATATTTGACTAGATGTAGTCTCAGATTTGGTTACTTCAGAACTATTATGTACATCATGCATAGTCTCATTGGGTTAACTTCTAGTCAATGAAATTAAAATATTCCCTGTTTTTCTGCACATCCCTGAACCCCAGGTTGAACCACTGAAGTACAGAATTAAATTATTATAATGGAACCATTGCACTAGGTACTGTCATTAAGGCACTTACACTTAATTAAATATTACTACCGAATGGGTTCTGAAGTGATCGTTTTCAATTTTAATCCTGACTGCCATGCAACCATTTGTTACTGATCTAATCATTGAGCCTGTTTCCTAATTAAGATACTAGCTAATGAAGAAGTGGCTGAAAAAACGTTGCAGGTTGCGCGTTTAATAGTATGTAGTGTTTAAACAAACCTGAGCTTATAATCTCTGCTTTCTTCTTCTAGATCGAAACAATTGAGCTGCCCATTGACCCCAAATCAAAGAAAAGGAGGGGTTTCATTTTCATCACATACAAAGATGAAGCCAGCGTCAAGAAGTGTCTGGAGAAGAAATACCACAACATCCAGGGTGGCAGGGTATGTACATGTACACACACACAGACAGGGTGATTTGTGATACTGCCCTGCAACTCTAAGGTTGTATGGTCTGGTCCATCACTTTCCTAGCTACCTTTTGGAAGGACCCCGCAATGTGAACTGCAACCCCTTGGTAACTTAGTAGGGGGTTGTGGTGGTCACAACTTTATCCCACCATAGATGAACGTGACAAAAGGTCTTGAGGAGTGTGATAACCTGCAATGTTGCAATGACAAAAGAATTGTTAAATCTGCATTTGGGCTTTTAAGACCCAGGGCTGAAAGCAGTCTTAGCCCCAGGCTAAAGGCTTTTCACACTGCATATTCTTAGCCTGTGGTATATTTAGCCCTGGGCTAAGAATATGCAGTGCCTTTTGTAAGCAGTTTCATTCTGAAAAATACTTCATATAATATAAATCTGCCATTAAGTACAATTGACTTCTGTAAGGTAAATGTTTGCTGAATTTGCTGAACATTTTAATAACGTTGCAGTAATTCTGTATGAAGCATTTAATCTTCCAACGTTTTTTTTTAACACTGGATATAGCACCGTATTTATTTAGCAAATGTACACCCTCCTTAGGACTGCACACCCTACCTCCCTTTTTTGTATTATTACTTCATGTCCTATGTTTATATTGTATATATTTTTTTGCACTACAGTTAGGCTCTTTTTAATTTCACCGTACATGTGTACAGTGACAATAAAAGCGTTCTATTCTATTTATTTCTGTTATCTTGACAGTGTGAGCTAAAGATCGCCCAGCCAAAGGAGGTGTACCAGCAGCAGCAGTATGGAGCGGGACGTGGCGGTAGTTATGGAGGTGGACGGGGAGGCAGGGGCCGTGGAGGTAAGAAAAAGGCATCTGCACCTTTTTTGTTTACGTTATGTTCTGGGTCAGTTTGATACAAAAACATGCAACAATCCCAGTTTCCCCACAAAAGTTCAGTACTATGGAGAAATTGAATACTGTTCTCATTTCATAGTCACACTCTGATCCCAAGTGTATCTTAAATGATTTTATTTTTTCCCAGAATCTAAGTTGTTTTCAGCATATTGTGGTTATACAGTTGTTTTTCAGGCTGTTGAGACCAGAAGTTGCATTAGACTTTTTTTTTTTTAATCTATTACCTGGTATTTTTAATTCTTTAATAGATGTGTGGCTTGTTTAATAGAATTTTAAACAATTCGATCACTAACATTTAACATGTAGAACATACAGATTATGCTTTTGCAATGGCATAGAGAAAAGATGAACAGACACTGTAAATACGACACCAACCAGATGTGGTGGTTTTGACCTTCTTGATGCCACTTGCTCCCCCTGTAACATAGCTTCCACTGGCTGATAAATGTTATCAGTATTGTCTCATTCTCCACTGTATCAGTTCCTCACCATAGCTAGCTATGTAGTGATATAGCCTACCAGTGCAATGGCTTAAGCCAGCTAGACGTCAAGGTCATGCATGTGAAATCAAAGACAAGACTACTAGTAAATGGCTAATTGAAATGTACACTCGCCACCAACTGGACGGGGTGTATACTACAGGTTATCTACATGTAGTTATGTTGCATTAAATCGCCTTTAGTGTTAATCTGTCAAATTATGGACAGCGTTCTGGTTTTTTGGTTCAAAAATATATTTGGCGAATTGATTCGACTGAAGCCTCCATGTGATCCGTGCACTTTGTGTTTCAGGTCAGGGACAGGGCTGGAACCAGGGCTATGGAAACTACTGGAACCAGGGATACGGTAACCAAGGCTATGGAGGCTATGGTGGATATGGCGGCTATGGCAACTACGACTACTCTTCTGGTTACTATGGATATGGTCCCGGATATGATTACAGTAAGTATGCATACCAACTGGGCAGTTTTTGAGTGGATCATGGTGACATGGATTTCACTAATGGGACTATGGATGCACCAGTGTCAATTTATCTCTACTGATGTAACCTTAAGTTACAGGCGGATGCTGGGTAATGATTTGACAATGGTACTTTTATGGTAAATACTTTGAAAGCCTGTATAACTCAACGTGAGGAATAATTTACATCTGGCCAATACTCAGTCCATTTTAACATGGTCAGTATGGGTTTAAATGTGACTCTGTATATTGTGTTGGGACATTTTGAATAAAATGCTGATTATGTTACTTAAATGCTGTACTGAGTAAAGTGTTTTTTTTCCCTTCTTTGTGCCCTGCAATTTTCTTTAACCTGGACACAGTGATTGTGCAAAGCTTTCCATACTCTTGTCATAACAGTGGTGTTGCCAGATTGGGTAATGTCCTGCCTGTACAGAAACCAAAACCTGTGCTCACTGACCATATCTGGTAGCCCACACTACAGCTGGCGATGAGGTGCAAATACTGGGCAGCTGGATAAACTCATCTGGTTACAGCATGTAACTCCACCTTGTGTACAAACATGTTGAGCTTTAGAGGAGCTTGTTGGTGTGTTTTTTTTTTTTTTTTTTCACTTAAGTTAATGAACTCTACTTAACACACAGACATGAGATTGATATAGAAACGCTCATATGATTCTCTGGAAATAAGCCTATTGCCCAAACGTATTTGATTATTCCTCAACATTGATTGAATAGTACTCTCTTTGCCTGACTTATTTTCTGAATGTAAACCTGTCTGTGTCTGACCCGTCTGTCCTCTTTGTCCGACAGACCAAGGCAATGCCAGCTACGGGAAAACCCCAAGACGGGGGGCACACCAGACCAGCTACAAGCCATACTGATGATCACATGGTAGTGCAAGGTATGCCAGGGCTATGAATACCATCCTGTACATACCATCACGTTTCCCATAAGCAGAGGCAGGTGTGCCTTTTTTAACATAAAATGTGACCATTACTACGTTGTCTGTCCATCCCTCAGGACTTTTATTTTATTTTTGGGGCGAGGGTTCCCCCTTTTTTTTTTTTTTTTTAAAAAAAAAAAAAAAAAAAATTGTTTTTTTTTTATAAAAAAAAAAAAAAAAAAAAAAAAAAATTTTTTTTTTTTTTTTTTTTTTTTTTTTTTTAAATTCCTTTTTTTTTTGGGTTTTTTTTTTTAAATATGTCCCCCGTTTTTTTTCCTCCCTCAGGACTCCAGTGATCCAGTGAGACCGACAGCTGGACGGACACACTGGGCATGACTCGACCTCTTTTATGACAGAAGACCATTTGTACAGAAAACATCCGAAATGTAACTTTTCCTTTTTTTTTTTTTTTTTTTAAATCCTTTCATTTTTAGGTTTTACTTTTCCCTTTGGTGTTCTTTTTTTTCTTCCCCCTCCACATTTCCATCAATGGAAGTGTAATTTTTACTGTACTTTTTGGTACCTGTTTTGATTCTAATGTATTGTAAGGCGTGTATTTTACATGTTTGCTGGCTTTACAGGTTGAAAATCTTGGCGCTGTAAAGGAGCTTTTTTGACAAATAAAAACAGTTTTCAGTAACTTTTTTTTGTTCTGATGTTTCCAGGTTCTGGGGTGGAAGATTAAAAAGTTGGTGAATGGGTTTGGGGATTAAAATTCAGTTTAATTCAACTTTTAATATTGATTTCTATTGTATAGCTACACAAACAATGATCTGTAATAATGGAAAAAAATGTTAAATTTAATATCTGCGTAACTAAAGCCTTGCCCTCAGATGACCATTTGGTATTTTTCCCCTGTTTATGTGATATCAACAGAATTTGAACTAGTTAGAATTCCTGAAAACAAACGACTGCAAGCTCCTTCCAGGATGTGCTGAATTTACCAGGGAGGTTAACGTCTGAAACATAGATGTGTGGGATGTAATGGTGGGAAAATTACACCACACAACTTCTGTTGACTACATACTTTTTTTTTTTTTTATTAATAACAAGCAAATTGTTAAAATTTCTATGTTGGTTTAGTTTGTTTGTCACGTGCCGCTGGTTTTAGAAAGTTTTAAGATAAATGTCGTTTTTTTTTTTTCTGGACATACTTCAGGCCACTGGAGTCTCCTCAGCTAGTGTATGGCAATTTATTAGTAATAAACACTCTTGTTTGTAATGATCTGTGTATTTCTAATGCTTAATGTTACTGTTAATTGTATCCTAAAGAAGAGAGAACTAGGTTTTTATCTAATTTCTCATGATCTGGTGCTTGGACACTTGGTTTTCAGAACTTTCGAGGGCACAAGAAAATGTCCACAAAACGGTATAAATCCATGAGGTGGGTGTTTTAGTGGGACGTTTGTAAGGGTGGTTGGATCACACAAATCAAAATGGGTCTTTCTGGTAGTCGGAACTACTTTTGTAATCCACTCAGTTATTTTACACATGCACAAGCAAGACCTGTAGACATCCATTAACTGTTATAGAGAGATTTCAGATTGAGGGGTTTGTTGCATGCTGTGAACAGTTATAATCTGCACCTAGGATATGAAACTATCTTCATAAATATGCAAAGATGGATATATTTTATATTGGGCATCAAAAAGACGTTTATTTATGGGAATTGCTGAGACCGATTTGTGGACAATCTCTTGGGAATCAGAAGTTCACTTCGCCTCCTGGGCCCTGCCAAAGTGCCATTGAGCAAGCCACTGAAACACCCTGCTCAGGACATTGGACTATGCGGCAGCTTATCATTCTTGACATCCCTCCACAACCATGAATGTATGTGTATAGGTCCTGTGTGTGTAAAGTAAAATGGACTAATTGAAGTTGTGGTGTGTTATCCGGAAATAAGTAGAGGGACACGTGGTACGTAGAAGAACCGTTTCCGTAGTGTAGTGGTTATCACGTTCGCCTCACACGCGAAAGGTCCCCGGTTCGAAACCGGGCGGAAACACTTATTGACCTTTTTTTATTTTATTTTGTGTCTGTTAGAAACCAAACTCCATAGAGGGAAGGTCAAAATCCAACCCAAAAGCCATGTTTTTAATATATATATATTTTTTAACTTTAATACTTTTACATTCATTGACAAAGCACAGACCACATGGATGCGATTTAGCGGCTGTTTTACACATTTAGTATAATTTTGCCTACTTAAAAAAAAAAATCTTTAGATGCTCCCACCCGGTTTCGAACCGTAAAGTTTTCCGTCGACAACCGAGGTGAACGACGTTCAATCGCTTAATTCGAGTATTCTCTTAACTTTCTCCACTCATTCTCTATGGTAGTTCTTACCAGTGCGGGTGTAATACACACTCTAACCACAATGTAAGTTGTAATGGCAGGGTGGCGCTGTTCCCATTTAAAAGCAGTGATTCCAAGTCAACAGTTTAACGCCAGGTAAAAACTTGTAATTACGAAGTTTTTTTTTGTTCTTTATATAATTATGAATAATATTAGTTTTCCCCCTTTTTTCTAATTCAATATTGTCAGTAGATGAAGTATATCTTGGTGTTTTACTAACTCGAGAGTGCCAATGAAATTGAATTTGCTAAGGGATAGGAGTGTCAAGTTAGGTGAAAGAGGTGTGTTGGCAGGCACACAATTATATATAATATGTATTAGCTTCACATAAGTATTTTAGCTTTAGTATTCCAGCTGTTGCTAACACTCACTTGTAGATTGCAATGGCTAGATGACGAATTATAAAAGGCTGTAATAAGCAAACACAATTTAGTTTTAATATTGATTCTACACCCATAATTAAAGTTTTTACTAGAACAGAGCCCCAACTTAAACCAACAGTTACATATCTGCATTTTAATGAACAAAATCAGCATTGACGCATTATTCACACATACAAATAAATCCACATGTCCAATTAATCACATAATTACCACAAGAGTATTCAATTCATCAAGTCCTCCATTTAACACAAAGTGTAAGTAAAGTCTAAATAGACTCTAGTACTTTTATCATAACCAAGAAGAAGCACAAACAAGTGTTCTACATGTGCCTTTCTTTTGATTCATTGTCCTTTATGGAACAAATGGCAGCTAGTCTACATCTCAGCAATGACTGGTAGCATCGGGGCCTTGAACCTTCTGGACTGTCTACATGTGGTGTGACAGCGAGACGCCCAGAGACAAATAATGCCTGTCTGACTGCGGAGACTCGTCTGTGTTTCTGCTTGTGTTTTGTAGCAGGAAGACAGACGGATCTCTGCGCCTTCAGTTGTCTGTCTCACTTCATCTGCCTTTTTTTTACAGTCCGTCTCTCTCTCCTCAGTCGTCTTCTTGCTGTTCACAACGGTTACCGGTCTGCTCTTGTGGTCCTTCGGGCAAATCTCAGCAGGGTTTGGACCCTGATTTCCATCTGACCTGGAGAGAGAGGGCGCTGAGCCGTTGAAATAGGAAAATTGCAACCCTGTCTTATTCCCCTCCTCCGTCCATCCTCTTCGAAGAAGCCTGGCTGCAGTGAGGAAAGAGTCTGTCTGGCTGTGCAGCTTCCCCAGAGGGTCCGAGAGTAGAGACATGGCTGACGTCCTGCTCAGGCCAGAAGGAACAGTGTCTAGCTCTTCAGTGTCTCCACTTCTGCTTCTGCGGCTGGTTTGAAGTTCTAAAGCACCTGTAAATCACATTTTAAAGCATTTGATACATATATGGCTATTTAGCTTCTAAATATTTCACAATGTTCACCAGCTAGTTTCTAACTTTATCTGTCTGCTGCTTGGTGCTCAGCTGGTAGTGCACAGTGGGTTTATCAGAACAAAAAAACAAAAAACAACTGCCTTTGGGTTGAGGTTGTGGTTGTCTGGAAAATCAACACAATTAGCTGAAAGACTATAAAATTCTCCATTGAGTTGCAGTTGGTGATAATTCTTTTTTATTTATTTGCTGCAGCTGAGGAAGTCTCTGTGTTTTCATCTGGTCTCCACTAGAGGGAGGCAAAAATCCTATGAATGTCCATTATAAGCAAAACCAATGCAAAGCAGTGTAAGTGTCACAGCAGCAGTTCTTAAAAAGGTGATCTTTTCTCCAGTGCTTAGTCATGTTTCAGTGTGCAAATGAACCAACCAAGTTAAACCAACCTGTGGCAGACAAGAGCAAAACTTGAGACCCCGACAGCAGCCACAGTCCAGACTAGAAGATGGAAACCCCGGGGTCCTGGCTGCAGAGGTACTGCAGGAACATATGGAAAAGATTAATAATAAGAGGACAAAGGAAAAGAAGAAAACACAGTAGTATGCAGTTCCATAATAATCAGTGCACTTTTTTGTGACATGGTTGAAGTTTTCTAAGGGCTTAATTTCATCCATCATCTCTGGTTTTGGTTTTGGAAGCAGTTTGTTGAGTTTCACCACAAACAAAGCCATAGGCGACTATGACTATTAAAACAAACTCAGCAAAGCAAATTATATGTAACAAGCAGAAAACAGGACCCCTAAAGAATCAATGAAGATGGTAACCATCAAATTTTACTTAACATAGTAATAACCACCGGTGCAAATATCCAACCAAGGTACTATATTTACTCACACCACCAAACAGTGTCAGAGGTGTTCCTTAGTCTCTATTTTATCTAGATATACATATAGACATATACATATACATATGTACCTTCCTCAAAATCATCAATCATGCAAACTCCTCCAGTGTATCTATACATCAACATATTGTACAAGTAAATATACACAATAAAATATCACATAGCTGTAGAGTCAGGTAATACCAGATTTCAGGTTGAGATCCTCGTTTCTCTCTGCTTCCTCCTTTCAGGACTGACTGCTCCACCGCTACTCTCTCTGTCTGACCCCCTTTCTCTTTTCTCTCTCTCCCCCCCCTTCTCTTTTCTCTCTCTCTCTCTCTCTCCCTCTCTCTCTCTTTTTCTCTTTTTCTCTGTCACGCACTAACCCTGACCTTCTCTCTACGTCAGCCCTCATTTAAGGTAATGACACTATATGAAAAAAGAGAAAAGGCATTATACACAGCTATATATTTGTAATAGTAATTAGTAATAGTAATAAGTTAAACAATTTGTTGTTACTTTGGTTTATGTAAATATATATTGATTGAGGACAAAATAAAAGGGACACCAAGAAAAATATACTAATAGAGTGACTTTATCTGTTTGTCTTTAGCCCTGTCCAAAGTGATGCATATACATTTTACATTGAAAAATCCAAACAACAGGAAAAAAACCAAAAAACAACTGGAGATATTTCCTGAGCTTTCAACTGTACCATGTGGTCTTCATCAGATCTTATGGAGGTCTGTCTGTTCACATTTGAGTTGTAACCAGCATGCTTCCTTCCTTTCCAGCCCAAGAACTTTTTTTCAGCCACAGCAGGTAGCCGTTTTCAGTGAAAAAGATCTGATAAACCGACTGTACATTGCCTTCCCAGCACCATGACGGAGAGACAAAGTTAGCAACTAGCTACTGAACATAGTGGAGCATTTAGCTGCTAAGATTTTTTTTTAAATTTTTACTCAGGAGTTGGTAGAGACTAAAACTAGAGCTAAAAAATATGAGTATTGAACTGAATGAATGTTGCAAACACGTTAGCCATAACAACTTTATTTGGTAATA